AAGTTTCCTTAGAAATCCCACACTGGGTTTTGTGTGATTTGGTGGGAGTGTAACTGCAGTTGCTGTTTATTTCTTCATTTATTTATTTTCCCATTTGTAAGACACTGGGTTAGTTGTGTTTCCTGTAATTTTATTTTGAAAAGCGACATGAGCTGCTCTGCCAGCCACACCCTTGATTTGATGGATACAAGCCAGGTGTGAGGAACACAGAACCTGGATGAAGTGCTAACAAGCAGACAGCTAATGGACTGCTAAAGAACTAACTAGTAAAAGGACTTAAAGGAAACTAGTAAAAGGACTTAAAGGAAGATGGATTCCCTTTGTGTTTTAAGCAAACAGCCAACGAGGTATTTATTTGTCTTTATTTTATTGCACATTATTGTATATGTTTTAATTGTACTATCCTGTATTTAGTTTCACGGTTTAAGAGAGGTCTAAAGAAAGGAGGACAGAAGAGGTCCACAATGAAAAGACGTCCAATAAACCCGTAAAAGAAATCACTTGCGTCTGTGTTGCTTGGAGGGAATCATAATTGGTTTGATATTTTAAAATGTAATAATAGCTAAACAAAAAAGGAAATCAGGTGACTTTGATGGTTGTTGTTGGTACCTGATGCACTGGTTTGATTATTTCAGAAACTGCTTACTCATGGGGATTTTCACCCAACAAAAGCTTATAGAGAACATTTGTTTCAAAGGACTAGATGTCCTAATCCCTCTCGTATAAGACCTGCAGCTTGTACTCTAAGGCTTGGGTGCTCAAATCCGGGCCTGCAGGGCCAGTATCCCGCGCGTTTTGGTTTTAACCACTTCAACACACCTGATTTTAACTGGTAGGTGATTAACAGGCTTCTGCAGAGCCTGGTGAGCTGCTGCACAGGTGATTCAACCACTGAATCAAGTGTGTTGGACTAAAGAGACCACTAAAATGTGCTGGATACTGGCCTTCCAGGCCCAGAGTTGAATAGCACTGCTCTAAGGGTTAATCAGCTGAATGATGGCATCTCTCTGGGTTCTCAAGTGGGCACCCTCCTTCCTCAATATTTTGCCAATAGGCCCACAATGTCTCCAGAGCGTTCAGCAGCGACTCCCAGCATCCCGAGTTCACCCCCACTACCCAGGTGTGGCTCGGCTAGAGTTCATTCTCTTCAGCCAGAGCCACTGCTGCCCCTTTCAGCAGCTCTGGAGAGATCCTTCATCGCCCGCCGATGATCCTGGCTCCGCACGCCAAGCTCGCATAGCACCCTTGATGTTGTAAAGTGTTGGTGTGAAGAAATCAATGGTGGTGGAGAGTAGTGATGACCAAAGTACCAGAGTTATTTTACAGGGAATTTCTATTCTTCTCAGATATACATCATCATTCCACCAGGCAAACGTCACTCTGTAGGTTTGTGTTGCCTAGGTGTCGAACAACTTTAAAACAAAACACTGTGAGGAACAGAGCAATGGTGGCTTGGAACACGTTACCTAACTTTAGGATAATTGAAGTACTTACAAACAGAAGTTAAATATATTTTTGTTGACACAGCAGTAGAAGTGTTATTATCTTAGGAAGAGCATTAGATTTATGTTTTAGTTATGGGAATTGTGACTGAACATGTGAAGGAACTGTCCGAATTGGCGGATGCAGCTTTTGCCATGGTTTGTAATTATTGTGTAATGTGAGCAGATGTTTTTTGCGTTTTTTGTTTTTGTGATGTGAGAATGTTTGAGTGCAAATATTGTAAATATTGGTTGCTGTATTGTGGTGTCGGACCTCAGGAAGAATGGTTGCTGCACGAAGCAGCAGCTAATGGGGATCTAATAAATAAATGAAATGAAATGGTGGGAGCAATTATTAGAAAGTGGAAGACATACAAGACCACTGATAATCTCCCTCGATCAGGGGTGCATGCAAGATCTCACCCCCAAGCGAAAATGATCACACACATCGTGAGCAAAATGCCCGACTACACAGTGGGACCTAGTGAATGACCTGCAGAGAGCTAGGACCTTAGTTTTAAAGGCTACCATCATGCAGTGCCAGACATTTCCCACTGCTTAAGCCAGCACATGTGCAGGATCATCTGAAGGTTGCTAGAGAGCATTGGGAAGATCCAGAAGAGAAGTGGGAGAGTGTCAAATGGTCAGATGAAACTACAATATAAGTTTTGGGGAAAAATTCTATTCACTGTGTTTGGAGGAGAAAGAATGCTGAGTTGCATCCAAAGAATACCATACCTACCGTAAAGCATGGGGGTGGAAACATCATGTTTTGTGGCTGTTTTTCTGCAAAGGGACCAGGACGACTGATCTGTGAAAAAGACAGAATGACTGGGGCCATATAAAGTCAGATTTTGTGTGAAAGCCTTCTTCCATCAGCATGGGCACTGAAGATTAAACGTGGCCAGGTCTTTCAGTAGGACAGTGATCCCAAACACACGGCCAAAGGAGTGGCCTCTTAAGATGCATTTCAAGGTCTTGGAGTGGCCTAGCCAGTCTCTAGATCTCAACTCCATAGAAAAGGGAGTTGAAAGTTCATGTTACCCAGCGACAGCCCCAGAACATCACTGCTCTAGAGGCGATCTGCTCCCATGGAGCAGGTTGCAGGAAAACAGGAAATTAACCGAGTTTATCTCATTGAATACATTTAAAACCAGATTGAGAGCACTTGAGACGGATTCCCTGTGCTGTAACTGCCTTCTATTATTTCGTATATAACTAACTGTAACTGAGAAAAGTCGACTGCATCTTTTGCTGCCTCTTGGCCGGGGCTCCCTCGAAAATGAGGTTTTTAATCTCAGTGGGATCTTCCTGGTTAAATAAAAGATAAATAAATTAAAAAATATGTTTTTTTTCTGAAACTATATTTACTTATTGTGTCATGACAAATTTTTATTACAACAGTTAAATGTCACGGCAAAACAAAACACGATTTCTGAGAATTTTACCTTCATTCAACTTCATAAACCAATCAGTGACAAACTAGTCATGATAACGAATGGACTGGCCATGGGCCGATAACTGGAGCTAATCACAGGCAGATACTGGTTTAAGTGACAGAACTGGTTGACCTCTAGGCTTCTGATTAAAACACATCATCGGATCTTCTGTTACGGTGAAAAGGAACATAAATGTTCAAGTTTCATTTTTAATAAAAATTCCAAAACAGCCTTTGCTTTCTGTTTAGTCTTTTTTTTTCAGTTTAGTTTATTTCAAACAAAGAAAACATACATAATTTTTTTTTAAATACCACAAACTGAAAAAATACATATCATCATCCCTTCTTCTCTGTTTGAAAAGGAGTAGGCTGAAGTGGAAACTTATATGTCCCTACCCCTTTATACAAGTAATTTTTACTTGTTTACGAAATCTAACACAAAACCTACATTAAAACAAACAAAATGGTACTAGTCACCAAAAAAACAAAAACAAAAAAAAAAACCACCAAACCATTTGGAAAAAAAACAAAAAAAGAAAAAAAAACACATCTTTTTACAATTGATACAATTTACTTTTCCTCAGAATAAAGGACACCCACATAAATCATCGATTTTCCACTATATACTTGTTCAGAATATGCTTTTTATTATTCGTTTTAAACACATTTATATTTGTACTTACTTTGATTTCTTCTTCTAAATTGTTCCATAATTTAACCCCTATTAATGTGATACACATCTGTTTTAATGTTGTTCTAAACTTATGGATCTTTAAGTTTAGTGTCCCTTTCAGGTTATATCCTCCTTCTCTCTCTGTGAACAGTTTCTGTATTTTATCAGGCATTAATTTATTTCTTACTTTATACATTATTTGTGCTGTTTTGTATTTAACCAAGTCCTGGAACTTCATTGTCCGCGTTTTAATAAAAAGTTCATTTGTGTGATCCAAATATCCTGCATTTGTTATTAACCTGATAGCCCTTTTCTGGATTTGTCGTTATTGTTTGTAAATGACTTTTGTACGTCTTTCCCCAGACCTCTACACTGTAGCTCAAATATGGCAGTAGCATCGTATTGTATAATATATAAAGTGCTTTCTGATTAAAAATATACTTAGCTTTCCCCATCTTTTCACCATTTTATGGTGATGTTCTGAGTTACTTCTCTACAGCGAGGATCCTACCTGCAGATGATGTCCCACAAAGGGAGCAGAGTCCCTAGAAACAGGAAATATTACTCTGACTGAAGCTAGCTAGCCAGAATGTTTAAAAAAGGCTTATGAGCATGTCCCTAGGGTTGGTCTTCAAGGTCTGCTATCCAGCATGTTTAAGTGTCAAGTGTGTTTAAGCAGGGAAACAACAGAAACATGCTGGATAGTGAACCTAGAAGAACAGAGTTTTAGACCCCTGCCCTAGGGGGCTCCTACTTTAGGGCACTCGAGGAGTATGGTTTGGATGGTTTGTGACCCTCTGTCTGGTCTGCTAGCTCTCCTGGGTACGTCGGACCCAGAACAAGCTAGATGTAGATCTCCAGGCTGACCAGGGAATGCCTTAGGGTCCCACCCATGGAGCAGGTGGAGGTTGCTGAGGAGAGGGCGGTTGGGACTCTCTGGGGCTGCTGCACCTGCTACTCAGACCCAGACAAACATACAAAAATTAGTGATCAAACACGTCCAAATAATGAATTTTGAACTTTTCCAACATTTAGAAAAGTTGCACCAAATCAATTTTTTATGTGATCGTTACCAGAGGCTAACGATAAGCAAGTAAGATAGACGCTATGATAAATATGATTGAGTGCTTTGTTTTGCAAAAATGAAAACTTTTGTCAGAGATTTTTCAGAGCCTGCTGATTGGCTGTAATGAACCACTCCTTTTTAGGTCTCTGTTCATAAGATCAAAGGAACGCTGCGAGTGAATCAGCTCTTGCAGATCTGTTGTTGCTCCTGCAGAACAATGACGACAACGATTGTTTTTCCTCTTCTCTTTGCTGCTCTTTTTGCCGTCGGGTCATGCGGCATTCCAGGTGGCTTCTCAAACATAGATCCCAACTCTTCAGATTTCCGAAAGGCTATGAATTTTGCTGTTTCTGATCACAACATGCACATCGACGACGTTTACTACCACAAAGCGACTGCAGTGTTAAAAGCGAAGAGTCAGGTCAGTAGTGCTTGAGTTATAAATACTTTGTCTTTCAGATCAAAGTAAAACTTTCCAGTAATAAACTAGATATTTTACCTGCTTGTTTTGTGCTTTTATCGTGAGCTGAGTAAAGGTTTTCTGTCTTCCACCTGCATCACATAACAGATGTTCTGCAGACTGAATCGTTTAGATTATTCAATTCAATTCACCTTTATTGTCATTGCAATTTATACAACAAAGTTTACTCATTTCAGTTTAATTTATTCACAGACTTCTGTTGGTTTATTCACTGTTATTGTTATAAATCCTCACTTTTTTCTCCTTAAAGGTGGTTGCAGGTCAAAATATTTTCATGAGTTTGGAACTGGCGAGAACTCGATGCATGAAGAACGATCCATCTGCTAACTACTGTCCCCTCTTTTACCCACAGCAGGTAATGAACTTATTAAAGAACTGAAAACCTTCTTTTAATCTGTGAGATAGTGAATCAACAACCTAACAGTCCCACTTGTATTTTTAAGCATTAAGTTGCACATAACCTCTTTTATAATTACATTTTATTAGATTTCTGAATAACTACAATATAATCTGATCAAATTAATCGTGAACTTTCGTTTCAGATTTACCATTGCAACTTTGAGGTGTTCATATCTCTGGGGATGGGTGAAATGACGCTGACCACAGAGGACTGCAGCTGATGATGATGATGGACGTTGTCTGCAGAATCATCTTTTCTCAGAAAATGTAATAAACTGGCTGCATTTTCACATGACTTGGAAAAGTATTTGTGTTTATTCTGAATGATTGTTTCAAAGCCAGTATTGGTCATTTTATACTGACTAATAAAGTTGTCAGCAATGCAAGACGGTAAAAAAACTCTAAAACTTGGAACATTTACGACGTGAGTACAGCAACTTATGATGAAATATAATAAAATGAATAAAACTAAGTTAGAAATGCCTCGGTAAACATGAGATTACCCAGATATTGTGACAAAATAAGCTTAAAAACTTCATATGATTTTGATGTTTTCATATGAAATTAGATAATGGCACTGGCTGCACTTACTATGAAGACAAAATATTTTTCTTAAAACATGATAAAAATATTTATATATATATATATATATATATATATATATAATTTTTGTTGCAACCCCTTGATGATGGTACTTGTGAGGGAGGTTGACATAAGAAATGGTACAGGAAGTTGATGTTTTAATTAAAGTGTTTTATTTGTGTTGAAATAAATAAATAAAAGGTAACCAAGATCTCTTAATCAAAATAACAAGCATAACTAAAGGAATGAAAATTACCAAAAGTCCAAACTTATAATTTATCAACCAAGGACATCGGGGAAAAGCCTCCGTACTATCAGGTGCTCTCTCTCTCTCTCTCTCTCTCTCTCTCTCTCTCTCTCTCTCTCTCTCTCTCTCTCTCTCTCTCTCTCTCTCTCTCTCTCTCTCTCTCTCTCTCTCTCTCTCTCTCTCTCTCTCTCTCTCTCTCTCTCTCTCTCTCTCTCTCTCTCTAATCAGTACTAGGAAGAGAAAAAAAAGTGGATTCTAAATCAATAGTTTTCCTTCAAAAACAGCCTCAACTGGGCAGAGTTCAATTTAACTTTTAAAGAAAACCTGTTTTTTTAACTAAAGAGGAAATTCAACAAAAATTGCCATTAAGGGCTGCAGTTAATTTCTAATAAACAAGGTTAGAACTTATACTTAAATAAGACTAGTTTCCTTTTTCATACGACCTGAAGGGTTTGGAGAACGGGGAACTGTGTATGTTCTGCAAGGATCCACAAGTTAACTAGGTAACAATAAACAAGGACTTTCTCAAGTCCAAAATATCAGATTAGTATCTTATTCAAAGCAAAAGATCAGCAGCAAAAAATAAAAAATACCCAAATTTGTTGTCTGTCTTTCAATCAGTTGTCCTTTCACGTTGTCTCCCTGACTGCTGGCAGACTCTCCTGTTTAGATTGATGACTGTCATCTTGTTTTTGCTTAGTAGTGAGTTGTGCTATTTTAATTCCTTAGCTCATGATAGTAGGAATGGGAATAGGGCCGCGGGAGTATATTCAAATCTTTTAAGCGATTGGCTAATCCAAGAGCGGCTCATCCAATGGCTGCCTTAATGGGTGGAGCCAATATGAAATAGAACCATCGGCATATAAATATTGGACAATGGGTTTCCATAACCTCCAATAACACGTTTTTGTGCCAAAATGGGAGGTTCCCACCACCACCATTTTGACCGTGTCAGGTTCCGTCAAGCCCAGACAATTCCAAAAAAGGGAGGAGAGGTGGAGCTGAGGGTGGGGCTGTAAGGCTGGGATCAAATGACGACACCCGGTCAAGCTAACCTGAAGCTAACCCAAAGCTAACGCGGAGGTGGGAGCTAAGCTAACGGAGGTAGCATAACCATTGGTGCCACCCATGCACAATGTCGTGCCTCACCTGGGCCACCCCTTTTTAAAAGCTCTGGACACGCCACTGCCCCTTCAGTAGAAAGGTCATTAATATTAAATATGTCCACAGTTGCTGTTCATTAAAGATCCACATAAACCGTGGACATTATTTCAGTAAACATTTTTTAATGGTTGCCCAAGTTTATAAAAAAGTAGACATAATTTATTTACATACATGTAAAAATCAATGAGCAGCAACTCCCAAACATGTTTCCACTGATCACCATGATGGGCTTGTAATCCGTTTTCTTTGCCCCCAATAACGGGCTGAGCTAGGAGGAGCTGTGTGGGTCAGTCTCTGTGGGACAGTTTAAACAGGTCACTGATGGACGCCGCTATCATTCTGCTTTCAGCTGAACTGCCCAAAAGCCCACATTGGTGGTCAACCATCAGTGAAACTGTTTGAGGACTTGCTTCGGGTTTCTTTTAAGAACCCGCCCCGCTGTACCCAAAACAGCCTCCTATCATCAACCTCTCTGTATAAATTTTACTTTATAATTGGCTCACCTCATTTGTCAATCACTAAAGAACCTCAAGCCGATTAGTCAGCGCAGCTGTCAATCATCTCATCATTGTCTGTGGATTGGTGCAGCAGCGCGGGCGGATCCCCCCCCGGGCTCGCTCTTCAAGGCTCGCGGAGAGCGAATGTCGTCATGAGCGGTGGGTAGGAATTAAAACGTTGATGTTTATATTACTTTCTACTTCGTAAAATGATATATTTGTGCTTAAGAGAAAAGCATAAAATAATGTGTGGCACGTATTAATGTGTTTTTGTGGAACTAAGTTGGCTGTGTGCTCCAAAATAATCCATGCCCTTCCGGAAAAGGACTGCCTTTTTCTGTAACGTTATCAAAGAGTTTTCCTTGCTAGCTGCGCAGCTAGCAAGGATGCTAGACGAAGCTACGTTAGCTTCTGCTCCTTCCATCCTAAAACCCACGCGTATCAATAAAATCACTGATGTTTCCATCATTAGTGTAAACTTGGTCTCCATTCATGTTTGTGTGTTACAAACAAACTCACAATTACCGCGTCGGCCTAAGATAGCTATTTGATTATTAACCGGGTTGGTGTAGTTAGCTCACCAGCTTGGCTGCTAACGGTAGATGCTGTCCAAATCAAACTAGCACAATAATATGGGTTTGAAGGCGCCACTATATTGTGGCCACTTTGTGTTTTTCCTCAGTCTCCGTGTTTAACTGAGTCGATGACCTAAAATCTTAGCATCGCTTTTATTGACTGAAAAATGCTGAAGTGTTGATATGATGCACAGTGGTTGCTCCATCGTTAGGATTTCCAAACTGCATCACAGGCAGGAGTTCAGACCTAGAGAAGATGCAAGGTCCGTTTGCTCAAATTATTCTAAACTGCAGTGATTAGAGACTAAGTTTCTTCTGTGAATCAGGAGTGAAGTTTTATGCCCAGTTTTCAATCTAAATTTCTGTATTTATATAATGTATGGCGTTTTGAACTACAGTACATGCTGTTTTGGCCATTTGGTCCAACAACAGTGGACAGTTTCACAGCATTCTTTATTTTTCTAATAGTTGAGCAGCTATCCATCAAAGATTAAGTGGTTTGTATCAAATGTGAGAGCATACAGAACATGCTAAGAAAAATTAAATGGAGAGACACATCTTCACACACACATGACCAGAAAACAACATGCATGTCAACTGAAAAGGTGAATTTATTTGAGAAAAACATATTTACTTGTTAATGTGTATGGTTTTTATCTGTAGCTTGGTCCGTTACACAGGAATCACAACAAGGTCAAACTTGTTCATTTTCTGAGTAATAACACAGCAGCTGCTCTTGTGATGTTTTGTTTGCCTAAGGCCTTAGCATTACTACAGCTCATCACAACCATCAACTGACTCACGGTAGTGTAAAGCACTTAAGAGTCCTCTGACTTAATAGGGTCCTATGCAAGTGCAGGTCCTTTAGTTTGAGTTTATTTATATAGCACTTGCCATGGAAAGAAACATCACAACGTGCTTCACAAAGATCAAAAACAACGAATGGTTCATAAAATCAAAAACAACAAAATCTAAAACTATCTTTTAGTTTCAGTGAAACTCCACCCATCTCTGACAAAGTGTGCTTACAACAGCGACTTACCCCAAAATTCCACTCCGCTCCGCTCCGGCACGAACTCCGCAGCAAAAACGGTCCCGTTGTAGTCAATCAGAGCTGTTCCACTACTGCGGCCGTGCGGCACAGTGCGCCGTTCCGCCATCCGGCAAAAATACGATCGATTCTATATTTGCCGGACGCCGGAGCACCTCCGCAGTAAATGGACATAAATCACAACCGCCCCAACAGGAAAGGGAGCAAACACAACTTCCGTTATTTCACAATAAATCGATAAACAAAAAGCGTTTTTTGTTTCATATGCACAGATTTAACAACTTATAACAACTATCAATGGCGGCTGAACTTTAAATGCACAAAATAAGCCATAAATACAGTCTCTACTATCAAAGTAGTCGCCCTTTGTTGATCCAAACACTGCTGATCTCTCAACACATATGATGGGCAGATTAAACAGCTCATTTCGATGCTTCTCCCACACAACGGGTGTTTGGATCTAACTTTCGCGTTTATTGCTCGGACTGTATCGCAAGATCTCGAAAATCCCGCGCATGCCTGTTTGCGCACCTCAGGTCTCCGCACCGGAGCGGAGCCGTTGTAGAGCGGGTACCAGTAAAATTTGAGTTCGGAAGCGAGCGGCAGCGGAGGGCGGGGGCGGAGCGGAGATAGTGGAATTTTGGGGTTAGGCGAGTCAGTTTCTGTATTGGCTGAGGTAGTGCAGAAGTTAAGACATCTCCCTAGCATCTCAGGTTAGCCATGTGCTGACGTGGGTTTTAATCTCGGTGTCAGCAGTAATTTATTTAGCCAGCTGAATCAGATTTAATGTTTTTATATTTTAGCTTTTTTGATTATTTTCTGCAAAATATTTTGTGTCTAATAGGGTTGTCACGGTGTGAGAATTTAACCTCACGGGTATTATGACCAAAATTATCACTGATTTCGGTATTATCGTGGGATAAATGCAGCTTATGAACTGATTTTTTTGTCTGAAAAACCAGCATGCTTACCTTCCCCGGCTTCAACTAAGACGACTGCTGAAATCCCGCTTTGATGAGCTTGTGGCACAGACACATGGGTACTTTGGGGCTAGTCACGACATCAGGGGAAGACTGGCATCCTGTTTTCTAATAGAAAAGTGTGTAGTCTCTTAATAACAGGCTCCAAATAGAAACTGCTATTTCCGCTCCAGCTCGCTCCTCTGCTGCTCTGACGGGGCCTGGATCTTTCTTAATCAACTTTTTTTGCACAGATTACCTCATCAGTGTTTACCGTTCGCCTTTTAAGTTTGCTTCAAACCCAAAATACTCTCGAACTGCTGAAGTTGTGTTCAGAGCTACCATTTTCTCCCCGTCCCTCTCTGCGCGTCTCCCCGCTGTCACATGATGACACGATGTTCATACACGATGTTCATAAACTTGTTGGAAAGTCTCTAAAATTTAGACAAAACATTTAAAATTATTTACGTTAATGATGCACCGATGTAAAATGTTTGGGCCGATACCGATGTCCGATATCAAGATCACTGTTATGGCCGATAACCGATATTTGTCGACACCGAATGCTTCTAAAATCAGCCGTTTTTGTATAGAATGAAAATGATGAAAGCTGAATTTACTTTACTATGTACACACAACACTCACATTTATGGTTCTGAGATGATTACAATCACTGTGACATGACTAAACTATTACACATCGTCCCCTCACCCTCTGAAACAGATAAACAAATGGAGACGAGATGGAAAAGATATCGGTTGTTAATATCAGCCCGGTTTTATTTATCGGGCCGATACCGATATGTTAAAAGATGACTAACATTGGCCGATACCGATATTGATGCCGATATATTGTCCATCCCTAATTTACATAAAACAGAAAATTCAACCATGTATCCATTTAATACATTAAATGACTCATTTTTCTTTTTTATTCATCTTTTTTTAATCTGTCTTCTACTTACTGTTTTTTTCCCATGGTGGTATTGGAATTGACACCAGCTGTATACGCTAATACCGCCCAAGCCTACTTGACTCTGAACCTGCTTTGCTTCTGCTCCACCAAAATGTAGAATAGAATAGATTTATTGATCCCACAGTGGGGAAATGCACTTGTTACAGCAGCAGCAACATTTAAAAGAATCATTTGAAGAAAAATAATAACAGAGGTACTAGGGCTGGGCGATATGGCCTAAAATTAATATCACGACATACTGAGGATTTCTCCTCGATAACTATAAGTGAACGATAACTACAGGTATGCGAAGAAACAAAGTTGTCCACTAGATGGGGCTGTTACATGTATCGTGTTGAGTCACATTTTTGCGTGAATCGAGGTGGTACAGTTTCTTAAAGGGACATGACCGTTGCCAACCTACACACGTCTTTTCATTTTTTTATTATCAGATTTATTGACCTGGGAAAAGTTATCACGATAAGAGTCAGAGATTTCGATAACGATAAATTTTCCATTTATTGCCCAGCCCTAAGAGGTACATGTGTAAATTTGGCAGTAAGCTATTATTGTAACCTTCGACCCCTAAAGACCACAAATAAAAATGAAGAACTTGGGTTCCACCACTATGCAGCAAACTATGTAAATCTAGTGCACAGGTATTGAACACATACTGAGTAGTGAATATTTCCCCATTAAGAAAAAATGAAGGGATGTTTTATCCTAGTATTTACCGAGCAATTCAGTAAACATGGAAGGTACGTAACCATGTTATAAAACTGCACACTCAATAATAAAATAGGTGGGTTGCTGCTGCAGACGTAGAGTTTACTCGTGTAACTGCTGGAGGTTTTTGGTAGAAACAACCCGTGCTTTTAAACTCTGACACCAGCAGCCCAACCACAGGAAGCAGCAGGTATTTCAGCTCAGCTGTGTCTGACTCTGCTTCGTGTTTTCTAGAACAAGACAGTATGGCCACCACCGTTGCTGTCAACCCAAGTGAATACCTCCAGCCTTCCACTACTACCACACAAGTAAGTTTACTTCTCTGCACCCTGGTTGTTCTTAACACCCCCCCCCCCCCCCCCCCCCCCCAAAACATGGTCATTTGTGTTAAATCCTGTTGATCTACATGTGCCCTGTGAGGAGGGGAGGGAAATCGTGTGTGTTTTGTGTTTCTGCATCTTTCCACTGTTTGAGTGATCAAGTATTCTTCCATCTAATCCATTGATTAGGTCTTGTAATAAATATATGTGACTTGTCAGTGGTTCCCAGTGTTTTCTCCTAGACACCTTTAAAGAGCAAGTCACCCCCATATCAACTTATTTTTGCTGATAAACTATATAAATGAGTGTCTAATTGGGCTGTAGACACGTGTAGTCAATAATTTGGTACTTTAAACGGTACATGGTAAATGGCCTGTATTTGATACAGCGCCTTCTAGAGTCCTGGAACCCCCCAAGGCGCTTTACAACACAATCAGTCATTCACCCATTTACACACACATTCACACACTGGTGGGGATGAGCTACAATGTAGCCACAGCTGCCCTGGGGCACACTGACAGAGGCGAGGCTGCCGAGCCACCAGTCACCAGTCCCTCCGACCACCAGCAGCAGGCAACGTGGGTTAAGTGTCTTGCCCAAGGACACATCGACAGCGACAGACTGAGCGGGGCTTGAACCTGCAACCTTCCGATTACGGGGCGAGCACTTTACTCCTGTGCCACCGTCACCCCTAACCTGGCAAGCCAGAATAAATAGATATATTGTTTAGTCTGGCAAATGAAGGTTCTCTGTCGTGGGGCGGGTTCTACCGTTGTCTTTCAAACCATTTCCACATGCTGCTGGACAATGAACAACATGACATACTCACCGCAACAAATGTCGGTAAACGAGGCGGTCCGCTGTTGAAGAAGGTGAAAAAGCATCCTTTTTTCTAAGAAAAAAAATACAACCTTAAATACATCTTTCTGCTCCTGAATCTAATAAAACCCAAATCCTAATAGTCCAAAATTGATGTAAAAGCCATTTCAAACGAGCTGTCGCCATCTTGTTCCACTGTGTTGCATCACCCCACCCACCAGACAAATAGAGGGCCCTGATTGGCCCACAAAGTGGATAAAGCGCTGTGATTGGTTCACAAAGCAGATGGAGCGCTATGATTGACCCACCATTATGGACCAATCACAGCTCTCTATGTGTTTCAAACCCCTCTAGAGAGCTGTGATTGGCCAGCCAGAATGCTGCTAGGGGCTGCAGAGGTTCCACTGGAGCGTTTTTAGACCAAACTAAAGCAAGATTTTGGTCTAGTTCGCTAGGCTAGCTCTTCAGTGCATCTTAGTTCAAATTAAAATATTCTGCCTAAAACTGCCAGTGTTGCTCCCTCTTCAGGTAAAACCTCTGCACTGCATTTGAATTTAAATCTGCCATCGCTATTGGTAGCTGGTACATTATGATGTCACAATGCCGCTGTCAGCCTGTGTGTGTGTGTTTGTTAGCGGCTCCGCCCTCGGTCTTCCAGGCAACAATATTTGTTGCATTTTTCAAACAGGAAGTGGGAGTGGAGTAATACTCTGGTAGGGGGTGACTTGCTCTTTAACAAAAGCTCCACCCTTCCTCTCTGCCTTTGGTAGAAGGACAGGTGTGTAATAATCAGTAGCTTATTGATGACTCATTGGAAACCTTTTTCTGAAGTTATTTCCATAGGAACAGTCACCTGGATCGTGTTCGCTTGTAAATAAAAACATTGTTTATAATAGGGCTGCAACAAACGATTATTTGGATAATCGATTAATCGGATGGGGTCTCGACACGATTAATCGATTAATCGGATTACATGGGGAAATTTTTAAAAACTGCTAGGGAAACGTTATTTCTCTCCTTCCTTCACTTTATTTAACACAACATTATTAGAAAACAGTTCAATAGCAGAAAAACAACATGCCATCACCTAAATTGTCTTATAAGGTGTATAGACAGAGACCCTAAGCTACATCTATCTGTGACCTAAAATGCTTGGTCCAAGTTAAACAGCTTAAGGGCAATTCTCATCAGTTTTGTTTGATCTCATCTGTTGACATTTATTTTAAATGTAATTAAACATAGGCTGTGAATTAATCAAAATTGATCACTATTTCCAAAAATGACTGAAAAAATACCAAATAAAACAAAAGTAAATGAATGCCATCCTCCTTGCGATGATGCCCTGGGCAACTGCCATAAAGTCACATCAAGAAATGCTGCTGATCATTCCAATGATCCCAAATAGACTCACATTAGGCCACATGAAAGCAACTGAACCCAAAAATATATTAACCAGTATATAACTGCACTCTCACACAGCACGCCTGCAGCAACAGTTAGGACTCCTCCCTCCCTTTTAAAAGCGTTTTTGCTTCTGAGGACATTGTGGTTGTAAAACCACATGCTAGTAGTCTGGCCCCGGTGGAATCAACCAGTTTCTGCTGGAATGTGACGGCGGAACCAGGGCCAGATTAACACTTTGTTGTACCCTGGGCAACAATATTCAAGGGCTCCATCATCACGACCCAAGGATCACCATAATGTGGTCACATACAGAATATTTTACTGTAATATGCAGTAAATATACTCAATACTTGAATGCCTGACAACACGTAACCCGCCCAGAGTAACCTTTGACCCGCCTCGTGTGGACTGACCAATGAGGAGAGGGTCTTAACTTGAGGCCTTCTCTTCATTGGTCAGTCTGCATGAGACTGACTCTCAACTGACGTTCAGTCGTAGGCAGCGAAGCGTCTCTGTGCAGTGCAAAAGCCCGGGTGGACAGTTTGTTTAATGTAGGGTGACCATATTTCCATTTCCAAACAAGAGGACAGGGGATCTGTGCCTATGACGTCACACTATGGCAACGCCACACAAACCATGTTGGGACCCATTTTTTGTAAGAACTAAATTAATATCAGATTCTGCCAATTAAAGGGCTCTAAAACTATTCATATGTAAATATTTTGCATATTTAATGCAAAATCTCATTTTTCTGCTTTAGTGCTGCAACAAGGTTTTATTAATAATAAATTATTATACCTTTTGTTTTACTACAGCATTGGTAAGCTTCCTGTGCACAGATTATTAAGGATGCTTGTTTCAGCTGTGAGATTAGACGATAGGATCAATGAAAAAATAAGTTGTCCCACACTCCATATAAACTTTCAGAGAATCCACAAATAGTGGCTTTCAAATGGTTTTGTTACTTTTTGCAAGTTTAGAAAAGAAGCAGATGAGACATCATGTCTGATAATTTAGTTTTTCATCTGATAATATTAGAACATGTCAGTAATGTCTGAGGGGCTTTTATAAACACCATATAACTAACACTACTGGAGAGGGCATGAATTACACAGAGGCTTCTGGGGAGCCCAGTTATTTGGGGGGGGGGGGGGGGGGGCATTTTGCCTTGGCCCCCAAAATGTCTTGAAACGGCCCTGGGTGTGTGACTGAGTTTTGAAGGTGATCTGAATTGTATCAGATGTATAAATATGACATGTGTATAACTTAATGTTTTTTACTGGTAAAAACTTGTCGTGGAGATAAATCTACCTACATTTTACTTTTCAACACTTTGTTTTGTTTTCTTGTTTTTATTTAACTATTTTCCTGTCCTGTCTGTCTCTCATCTTCCTGCATCTCCTCTTAATTCTCCAGAAAATCTGTTGCCTGGATTCTTACCTTTTCACCTCATCAGTTACTTTTGAGCAGATCAAAGAGATCTCCAGACCGAAAAGCGCAGAGCGCGTTTTCGATGCTGCGTGAGGTGACATCACCGCAGCACAGGTGATGAGCTCCGCAGTAGCGCGCTTCAGGCACAAATAAGACAGAAAATAGAGAACATGTGCGGACATGAACGATCGTGTGCTAATTATAGTTTTTTGGTTGCGCCACTTTGAGAATGGACCGTGCGCTGGAAGCAGCTGCCTGGATCGCTGTGCAACAATGCGGAACCGGTTCGCAGCAGCGCAAGTCTGCCGGCTCTCCCTCACGCTGATCTGCGGCTCTCCCTTGCGCTGATCTGCGGCTCTCCCTCGCGCTGATCTGCCGGTACCGGCTCTCCCTCGCGCTGATCTGCGGCTCTCCCTCGCGCTGATCTGCGGCTCTCCCTCGCGCTGATCTGCGGCTCTCCCTCGCGCTGATCTGACTTGCTCTGGTCTGCGCGCAACGGCGGGCGGGAAGGGGGGGGGGCGCTTTTGGAAGAGTTGTGCGACACAACGAATCGATGACGCAATTCGTTGCCAACGCTTTTAGTAATCGATTTTCATCGAATTTATCGATTCGTTGTTGCAGCCCTAGTTTATAAAGGGGAATATCCATTATAAAGGGAGATCATTTTAACCCCTTCTACTGATTGTAATGTAGTGCTACTTGTGTTTCTGTCAGCAGGACACCCAGCCTTCCCCTCTAGCCCTCCTGGCTGCCACCTGCAGTAAGATTGGCCCTCCTGCTGCTCAGGCTCCTGTCAGTTCTCCTCCAGCGCAGCCACAACCTCGCAGGCTTCTTCCCATAAAGCCAGCTCCGATAGCACCAGCCCCACCCAAGAACCTGGGGTTTCTCTCGGCAAAGGGCAATGTGATCCAGCTTCCTGCCGGTTTGGGATCCACATCCCCTGGCAGCCCCATAGTCCTTACCATCCAGCAGGGTCCTGCCCGCAGCAACACCTCTGGCTCTGCCAACATTCAGTACCAGGTGGTTCCACAGATCCAGGTGATGCCACAAGGAGGCCAGATCCAGCTCATACCAGGCACCAACCAGGCCATCATCACCTCTCCGGTGACCGTTCCAGCCCCCTCTGCAGCCACTGCGCCGGTCACTCCGCAGAAAACTGTTGCCATCAAACCTTCCCCTAAGGTACAGAAGCCAAATAACACAGCTGCAAATGTGGTTCAGTTCCCTAGTGGACTCGCACTTCCCCTCAATGTGGCGACCGGAGAGGTGGGCGGGACTCCAGTGGTCACAGAGACTGCCACTGCCCCCTCCACACCAGGAAAGGCTCGACGAGGGAGGAAGAAGAAGGTGGTCCTGCCTTCTGAGCCTCTGCCACCTGCTCCTGCTCAGGCTGCCTCCCCATCCCCAGAGCAGATGGAGACCATTGTAATTGAAGCTGGTGACAACATCATACAGGTGCAGTTACTTATTTTCACTTATACATCATGCAATATGGCAATATTTTTTAAAATATCTCTATCATTTTAAACAAATTTATATCATGTAACTCGGCTAGCCGCTATGCTAGCGACTAGGTTGCTCCGTCTCAAAGCGGTCATTACATGTATTCTCACAAGTTTGCTCAGTCAGAAAACCTCTGGGTCAATGTTTTGCCCTAAACTTAGCATTTGGCATCCTGGGTTTTAAGTATTTCGGGATGTTTGTTCGTGTTTCAGCGAGCCTTTCCACCGTGGCGGTCAACGGAGCTCTGTTTATCCTGCAAGTGCGGAGAGGCGAGCAAACCTCTCCCCCGTGTAATCAGGACGCATCTACGCTGAGCCAGAGTGGCCAAATGACCTCAAACCTGTTGTAACGATTAGAACAGTTAACACTAGGGCAGGGGTGCCCAATCCTGGTCCTGTAGGGCCGGTATCCTGCATGTTTTAGTTTGAATTCTGTTTCAACACACCTGATTTCAATCAGCAGCTAATTAACAGGCTTCTGCAGAGCCTGATGAGCTGCTGCACAGGTGTTTCAGCCACTGAATCAAGTCTGTTGGAGCAGAAAAACCACAAAACCTGCTGGATACCGGCCCTCCAGGACCAGGGTTGGGCACCGCTGCACTAGGGTTAACGTTTTATTTTGAAGGTGAGTTCAGCGGGTGGGAGTGGTTGTTCCGGTTCTTGTTTTTGCCACTTTGTTAGGCTCGTAAATGCTCTGTTATGAGCGAGTCTGTGGGAAAAGTTAAGAGTTTGTAAGGCGTGGGTTATGGTGGCAGTAGTCTGAAAATAATACCCATAAAACAGCCACAAGAGAGTCTGAGTCATTACAAAATGATCGCTGATATGAGTCAATACCGTCAGGTTTCAGCCATGTTTGCCCTATTAACTAGTCACACCACAGTTGCATCACGAATTTAGCTTCACATGATAGATTTTTATTCTCTGGACAAGAAATAATTACTGGTAATATTGTGGATGATAGGATTTGGGCCACCCCTAGATGGAATTTAAATTATTTTACATTAATTATAAATATACAGGATTTCCATCAGAAAACGTGCTTGACCCTGTGTCGCTACCAGATCGGCTCGGGGTCCTGCACCTGCTGATGATGTCACAATCTGGCAAACCCACTCGGCTTTCACACTTAGTTTTGGAAAGACATCAGCAGTTTTGTTAATTAATTCTTGTTTGTTACCACATAAATGTTTTCTTTATCACTGTAGTAACACCATATTATCTTTGTTTTGTAAAGAATGTGAAACTGCATAAAACCAACATCTGACTGCCCAAAGACCACAGTTCTTACAGGTCCTTCTCAAAAAATTAGCATATTGTGACAAAGTTCATTATTGACTGTAATGTACTGATAAACATGAGACTTTCATATATATTAGATTCATTACACACAACTGAAGTAGTACAAGCCTTTTATTGTTTCTAATATTGATGATTTTGGCGTACAGCTCATGAAAACTCAACATTCCTATCTAAATAAATTAGCATATCATGAAAAGGTTCTCTAAACGAGCTATTAACCTAATCATCTGCAGTGTTTCCCCTAGGAAGTTTTCCAGCTGTTGTGGTGGTGGGATTATGAGACGTCTCCCCTTTATGTTATTATTGTTTTATTTGATGCACTCCACTCTGAACTGCACCAATCCAGCAACTGCTGCATTTTAATGACTAGTATCAAAGGTGAATACACCAATATTTGCACAAGAATAATTTCTGTTTTAAACTCTCAGTGACACACTTTGCGGGGGGGGGGGGGGCATTTAGTTTTTCTTTGCGTCTGCCCCCTTTATTTTGGTCCAAGACCATTACTGGGCTGGCCCTGTTAAACACCTTCTACACCCCTGCTTAGTAGACTCAATGAAGTATTTTTAAGCCAGTATAAAAATGACTGAAACACAAATTTACATATTTGGCATTATTGACCAAAATCTTTGGTTTAATTTGTTTGTTAAGAACATCAAGATGCATTACAGTGAACATTATAATAAAGTACATGTTTCTAGTGCAGAGAGGAGACGACCCATAGAAGCACTGATTTGATCTCATTTCAGAGAAAAATAGAACCGGTCAGATGCACCTAATAAATAAAATTACTAACATAAACTCAGGAATCTGTTTCTTTGCTTCGTTGTTCTGGTGCTGGAAACATCACTAATGTGGATCAAAGCAGATACACAGATGAATGCACCTCTTATTTATTATTAGGAAATTAGTGGGCGTGGTTTACATCAATACATTATTTTAAATCTGAAATTGATATGGATCGATCAGAAGTTGCTATGTGTGTTTATTAGAAAACTATTTACAGAGCAGCCTCAGAACTGAGATTAAATAGTTTTGATCACAACAGTAAAGGAACTATTACAGAACAAGTTTTTCAGTAAAATCAGAACATTAATGTTTAAGTGCATGAATTAATGCATCTGAACTCATGCAGCAGGAACTAGGAAATATGAAATACTAGAACCATTTTATTTTCATTTGATTAAACTGATTTTTCCTAACGTTGTTGGCATTTTCCCCACACACAGTTAAACAAAACAATGTTGATTAAGGTATGTGTGAGAGAGAGAGAGTTAAAATAATAAAAAAAAAAAAAAACGACCAGAGTGGAGGCAGTGACCGACGCCTGCACGAGCCGTTTTCAGCTCTGTCTTGTCAAATGCACCACGTACGTTACGAAAAAGGTAACTTTAAATATTCAACCGAAAAAGAGGCGAGCTGAAGAAAACCTAGGGAGTTCTGAAGAAACGTGAGCAACAGTGAAGCAAGCACAGAGAGATCCATTACTGTGTGTGTGTGTGTGTGTGTGTGTGTGTGCGTGCGTGCGTGCGTGCGTGCGTGTGTGTGCGTGTGTGTGTGTGTGTGTGTGTGTGTGCGCGTGTGCGTGCGTGTGCGGGGATGGGCCAGACGGACTGAGCTCCCGACTACAGTTTTGTGTGTAGGGAGGGGCAGGGGCTCTATGTGACTGGCCAATCACAGAGCGTGAAGACAGTCAGTTACCCGATGAGGATTTTTCTTCAGCACGATTACAGATATTTACGAGTTTTACTCGTTTCATGCTCGTATTCGTAAAAAATGCTTTATCCGTACCAGATACTAGTCTGAAATGAGTATCCGGCTCATCCCTAGCTGTAACCACCCTGCCCTGCCTCCTCCTCCAGGCTGCCTGCTGGCTGTGATCACAAGAAACAACAGAGTAGTTCCCGCTGCTTCTTCGGGAAACGGCGCAAAAAAAATCAATAAAACTTGGGATCTTGTAGGCGTGGCGCTGGGATTTCAGCCGTGGCGGGCCACCACGGCTACGCCTATGTAAAGGAAACACTGATCTGAATCAACTAATTAACTCTAAACACCTGCAAAAGATTCCTGAGACTTTTAAACTCTCCCAGCCTTAATTACTCAAAACCACAATCATGGGTACGACTGGCGACCTGACTGCTGTCCAGAAGGCCATCATTGACACCCTCAAGCAAGAGGGTAAGACACAGAAAGACATTTCTGAACGAATAGGCTGTTCCCAGAGTGCTGTATCAAGGCACCTCAGTGGGAAGTCTGTGGGAAGGAACAAGTGTGGCAGAAAACGCTGCACAACGAGAAGAGGTGACCGGACTCTGAGGAAGATTGTGGAGAAGGACCGATTCCAGACCTTGGGGGACCTGCGGAAGCAGTGGACTGAGTCTGGAGTAGAAACATCCAGAGCCACCGTGTACAGGCGTGTGCAGGAAATGGGCTACAGGTGCCGCATTCCCCAGGTCAAGCCACTTTTGAACCAGAAACAGCGGCAGAAGCGCCTGACCTGGGCTACAGAGAAGCAGCACTGGACTGTTATCAGTGGTCCAAAGTACTTTTTTCGGATGAAAGCAAATTCTGCACGTCATTCAGAAATCAAGGTGCCAGACTCTGGAGGAAGACTGGGCAGAGGGAAATGCCAACATGCCTGAAGTCCAGTGTCAAGTACCCACAGTCAGTGATGGTCTGGGGCGCCATGTCAGCTGCTGGTGTTGGTCCACTGTGTTTTATCAAGGGCAGGGTCAATGCAGCTAGCTATCAGGAGATGTTGGAGCACTTCATGCTTCCATCTGCTGAAAAGCTTTATGGAGATGAAGATTTCATTTTTCAGCACGACCTGGCACCTGCTCACAGTGCCAACACCACTGGTAAATGGTTTACTGACCATGGTATGACCTGAACCCCGTAGAGAACCTGTGGGATATTGTGAAGAGAAAGTTGAGAGACGCCAGACCCAACACTCTGGATGAGCTTAAGGCCGCTATCGAAGCATCCTGGGCCTCCAGAACACCTCAGCAGTGCCACAGGCTGATCGCCTCCATGCCACGCTGCACTGAAGCCGTCATTTCTGCTAAAGGATTCCCGACCAAGTATTGAGTGCATACCTGAACATAATTATTAGAAGGTTGACTTTTTTGTATTAAAAACACTTTTCTCTCATTGGTCGGATGAAATATGCTAATATTTTGAGATAGGAGTTTTGGGTTTTCATGAGCTGTACGCCACAATCATCAATATTAGAAACAATAAAAGGCTTGAACTACTTCAGTTGTGTGTAATGAATCTAATATATATGAAAGTCTAATGTTTATCAGTACATTACAGACAATAATGAACTTTATCACAGCATGCTAATTTTTTGATATGGACCTGTATATGTGAAGCCATATCTGTCTGTATTAATGTGGAATTTGTCTGTATATTTCCTAGTTGTTATGTAAATTCATTCATTCATTCCAAATGTTGCTTGGTGTTTGTTAACAACGTTCTCATATGTTATTTTGCCCAATTTCATCAAAATCAAGAGCTTTTGAGGGTCACCGCTCATCAGTTGATATCTTTGCTTTTAGTTTACATTTCCTTTGGAAATTAAAACATTTTTTCTACGAAAGTGTTGATTTCTGGACTACAGGACTACAGCTGACCAATCAAAATCATCATTGTCAACGTGCTAACGTAACTTTAACGAACGTGGTATCGTAACTTCTGTAAGTCTTACGTTCAGCCAGTCATCTACTGTGATGTAATTTGCAGACGCAGAACCCCGAGCCAATCTGGTACCGACACTGGCTGACCGTGAGAGCGGTGGGGGTGGGGGAGATGTTTTATCAATCTAGATAGGTAGGTAGGTAGATAGATACTTTATTACAGACTCAAGGTCCAGTTTACATTAAAACGGTTGCAAATACATTGCATTGGTCTCTGTACCAAGCTGTATTCGGGGCAAAAAAGCCCAGTTTCTTGGCTCAGCACGGAGAAGTCCGCTGCCGTAGAGTGCCAGCACACAGCAGGGTTTAAAGTCCTATTCCCTGACATTTATAAATCTCACCTGCTGCATGTTTTTGCTGTGAAGATGGGTTTCCACGTGTGATCAGATGAAGCTGGAGTCAGACGAAGCAGCGAGGAGAAATGTACCCAGACAGCAGTGCTTTTTGGAGCTAATGTGAGGAATTATCTGCATGAGGCGAGACCTGCTGGAGCCAGGTGAAATCCTGGATTCCTTATTGGTCCAGGCAGCCTTGCCCTCTGGTTGGTCAGGTCCAGGTGCTTTATGCCCTTAGGCTTGTTACTAATACGGTATTATTTGCTCGTCCGTTTTGACTGCTTCTGTGTAAGATAAACTTGTTTCAGAGTAAAGCATGTGACCGTGAGATGTATTCGTCCTCTGCCCCTAACTTGGAGCAGCTGTTGGTGTGTTTACCTCCTCTCTTCGATGTGGAGCTCTTTATGGACCCACAGACATGAACTCACTGGAGCGTGTGAAGATGCTGCTTGTTGCGTAACAGCACAAATCAACCTGTTTACCAGCTCTAGTTAAAAGCAGTGGTGCCCAACCCTGGTCCTGGTGGTTCCCTATCCAGCATGTTTTAGCTGCTTCTCTGCTCCAACACACCTGTTCAGCAGGTGGATCAGGGCAACAACTAAAACCTGCTGCATGGGGCTCCCAGGACCAGGACTAGACATGCCTGCTTTTAGGTTTTTAACATATGTTTCTAAGACATTTTAGCTGGAACAAATGAACACATGAATGTCAGTGCTGAACATCTTCTGTCTCCACTTTTGCAGGCGGGAAACAATTTGCTGATCGTGCAAAGCCCCGGACAGCCAGCTATGGTACAGCAAGTGCAGCTTGTCCAGCCTAAAGCAGAGTCTCAGCTGGTTCAGATCCCTCAACAGGCTTTAAAGGTGGTGCAGGCGGCCTCTGCTACGCTGCCTCCTGTCCCACAGAGGCAGCCTGTCTCTTCTAACCTGCAGGTGACCCCTACAGAGCCGTCACCGACCCAGGTAGCTCCTCACACCTCCTGTCCATTCTAACATGTCATTCAGAAACTCTTACCTGTGCTTTGCTATTGTTTACCTTTGTTGTTTGTCTCTTTTGGGGTTTTTCAAGCCCGTTTCTACAGTTTGATCTCCAACATTAGGAGGTTTTACTGTAGCACTAGGGCTGAACGATTAACTGCATATTTAATTAAATTGCCATGTGACAAAAGGAGATTTTCTAATCGCAAAAGCTGTGATTTGACCTTCAGCGAGTGGTTAGCGCAATGCTAATATACATGGAAAAACCCATAGAGATGCTAATGATAATATCGTTGATTACATTCTTACAAATTACAAATCAGGAATGTGCCAAATTATTACATTTGGAGTCTAATAACCGGTAGAAACAATCAAATAAGTACAGACACACATATTTTAGTAAAGCTGGAAAACTGCATGAGACTTCAACTCCAGAGTTTTGGCTAGCAGCTATGAACGTATCTGAACTACGGAAGCTCTGCATGGACAAGACGTCAAAAACTCTAAACACAAAAGGCTTCACCAAACGGGACACACGTCGTTCCTGCTGATAAATGTTCAGTTGATGCTCCTTCAAGGGATGTGCTCCTGGCTGCAAGCATCGCACCTTCTCATGCCACATTTAGTCATTACTTGTGAGTGTTTGTGCTTATGTAAACAAATAAACTTGTTGATATGATGTGTAGATAAATATGTAGATACACAAACTTGTTTATATTCAGTACAAATTATCACGTTTTTTTCTTTTTGCTTCCGTTAGTTGAAAAATGAGAAAAGCCCCTGGGGAAAATAATCGTGAATTAAATCACAATTGCAATATTGAATAAAAAATATCACAATTAGTTTATTTTCCAGATTCGTTCGGTAGCACCGACTCTGACCCGGAGCATTTACTTTAGTTTGGGGCTGAAGCACGAGTGCAAAGACCTTTAACTAGTTAAGGTTTAGTTTGAGTCACTTTCTCTCTGCTTAGTTAACATTGAAATCACAGATCTTCAGTAGGAAAGAGAAGTTGGAGTAGCGGTGGTCACGTGGGCTCCGGGCCAATAATCCACATCTAGAGATAACTGTTGATTATCGTTTTCATACTTTCTGTTTTAGTGTCCAGATTCAAACAGGAAAACATCACTTTCATTTTTTGTCGTTTCCTCAGATCCTCTTCAAAACAGCGTTGGGAGACTGGCAGTCGCTAAATATCCAGGACCCAGTCTCAACGACCAGCACCACCGCCACCTCCTCAGGTTCTCCCACTACCACGTCCCCACCATCCAGCACCAGGAGGACGCAGCCAGGAGGCAGGAAGGAGCGCACGCTGGCAAAAATAGCCCCAGCAGGTGGGATGATTACATTCAACACGTCTCAGCTGTCCTCAGCAGCACAAGCTGTGCAGACCATCAGCATCAATGGGGTCCAAGTTCAGGGAGTTCCTGTCACCATCACCAACGCAGGAGGTGAGCAGCCACGATCACAACAACGATTATCACAGATTAGGATGCTCTGAACATCGTAGACATCAGTGGAATGCTTCTCAAACAGGTTTAAAGCCTTAAAAAGGTGTTGTTCTGAGAGAGAGAATAAGATATGTGAAGGGTCAAAGGTGAGGATTCGGGCTAGAGAGAAGTGAAGTCTTCAAAGTCTCTGTGTTTATCATGGAAGAATATTTAATGAGCCAGCCAGTGCTTCCCTGATGTTGGGCCTGTTGGTGTCTCTGTCAGGCCAGCAGCACCTAACTGTGCAGACCATGCAGGGTGGAGCCCTTCAGCTGGCCACGACGCCAGGCCAGCCTGCCATCCAGGTGGACCAGACCCTCACACTGGATTTGTCTGGCCAGCCAGGAGAAAAGAAGCGACGCATGGCCTGCACCTGCCCCAACTGTAAAGATGCAGAGAAGAGGTGAGTCTGTGCATTGATCATCCCTAAGCCAGGAGAAGAATATCCGTGTAAGAAAACGATAACCAGAAACATGAGTACTCATCTGCACGAGGTCTTTGTATGTCACAGCCCTGTTTTCTGATGGTGTGTATGGAGATATGCTTTCATACAAATGGAGACTAGTTTTAGTCTCCCGTAATGAAGCCATCTGTTCTGAGTGAATGAAGTGATGGGGACATTATGCTCTTGAACACACGATGCTGTTTCTGGTGTACCTGTGTGCACTTTAGCATGTGACCACACCGGATCAGATCAGTCGTTATTATTATTACTTTACCTAATGCACCTGTAGGTGAGTGCCATGTGCACGGGGCTATCAGTTCCACTCTAGCAAGTGTCTGTGGTTGCATCTCTGACTGCTGACCTATTATAAGAAGTTATCTCCTGGCCCCACCCTTCCCCGTGCACTCTCCTCCAAGCACCCTGTTGTCCTGACATCTACTTGTGGAATGAAATGATTTTATTTCATTGTCCCAAATCAAATGCTTCTTCAAGTAAAACAAACATTTTCTCTCACATTTCATACATTACTGATCAAATATTTTCAATGAATGAAAAATCAACATTTCATAAACAAAATAATCTCCAATATCCTTCCTTCACGATGAAAGAAGGAGCATTAAATGTGGAGAAAACCACTATAAATCTGGCCAAAGCAGCAGCTACACAGGGGGAAGAGATGCTGCTGCGACATCATATATGAAACGTCTGATTTGTAGTCTTTAATTACCAGTTAGAAAATGTGGGCGCAAGTAATTTAACTTGCGTCCACATTTTCTAAGTTAAACACATTTCTTTTAACAACGGTAGTTTCTGCATCTGTACTGTCCCCCTGCTTCAGCCCTCTCCCCCCTCCCCCTGCTTCAGCCCTCTCCCCCCTCCCCCTGCTTCAGCCCTCTCCCCCCTCCCCCTGCTTCAGCCCTCTCCCCCCTCCCCCTGCGCAGCGGCCGCAAACTCACTGATGCGCCTGCAGCCTCTCGGAGTTCCTGCTGCTCTAAACATTAAAATAATGATTTCATTTTCTGTTCCTCACTTCTGATTACCTTCAATGGTGTCTGTTTGTTGCAACCAGCAGGTACAAAACTAACTTGTTTTTATTTGACTATTTTTCTGTCCTGCCTGTTTATTATCTTCCTGCATCTCCTCTCAGTCCTAAAGAGAAACTGCTACCTGGGTTCATATATATTCACCTCATGAGTTACCTTTGAACTGCAGTTCTAAAAGATCTACCGACCGCTAAAACAGCGGAGTGCTCGCTGACCACACAGGTGCGGTGAAGTCACCGGAGGACAAAACAGGTGATGCGCCCCACTCCACAGCAGTAAAACGCATCAGGCACAAATAAAAGACAGAAAGCATAAAAGGAAATGAGCCGACATGAACGATCACGTGTTAAATTTGTATTTGAGGTGGCGACACTTTGATAATGTTACTGTGGCCGTGCTCAGGATGCATGTCTGGAGTGCATCAACGATCAGAGCTCTGCGCCTCTCAGCTCTAAATAATCCCTGAAGAGTCCACATGAATAATGTAATATCAGCAGAACCAGGATCGTTTTTGGGCTCCCCCTGGTGAGAGATGGACTCCACCAAGGCTGCCCTTTATCATCCATTCTGTTCATAACTTTTATGGATAGGATTTCTAGGTGCAGCCAAGGTGTTGAGGGGATCTGTTTTGGTGGCCTAAGGATCAGGTTTCTGTTTTTTTGCAGATGATGTGGTCCTGTTGGCTTCATCAGAACGTGATCTCCAGCTTTCTCTGGAGCGGTTCACAGCCGAGTGTGAAGCAGCTGGGATGAGAATCAGCTCCTCTAAATCTGAGACCACATTCTTGAATCAGAAAAGGGTAGAATGCCTTCTCCAGGTCAGGAACAAGGTCCTGCCTCAAGTAGAGGAGTTTAAGTAACTCAGGGTCTTGTTCAAGAGTGAGGTAAAAATTGAGCATGAGATCGATAGGCAGATTGGTGCTGCGTCTGCAGTGATGCAAGCGTTGTACCAGTCTGTCATGGTGAAGAGAGAGCTGAGTCACAAGGTGAAGCTCTCAATTTACTGGTCGATCTACGTTCTTACCCTACCCTCACCTATGGTCACAAGCTTTGGGTAGTCACCGAAAGAACAAGATCACAGATACAAGCGGCCGAAATGAGATTTCTCCGCTGGGTGGCTAGCTCTCTCTTAGAGATGGGGGTGAGAAGCTCGGTCATCTGCACATCGACAGGGGCCAGTTGAGATGGCTCGGACATCTGGTCAGGATGCCTCTTGGATGCCTCCCTGGTGAGGTTTTCCAGGCATGTCCAACTGGAAGGATACCCAAGGGAAGACCCAGGATACCCTGGAGGGACTATCTCTCTCAGCTGGCCAAGGAACGCCTTTGGATTCCTCCGGAGGAGCTAGTCCAAGTAGCTGGGGAGAGGGAAGTCTGGGCCTCTTCACTTACGCCTACTGCGCAATGAAAGCAAAAGTTGCGCGGAAAGACCATGTAAAGTTTTACTCGCAACAATTACAGCACAAGTGCACACCGGGAGTGTCTCAACCGTAGTCCTCGCTTGACTTGCAAGATCACAAAATCCCTTGAGATTACCGCTAACCTACTTGCAAGATCACACGGTCCCTCGAGACTTCAAAGGTTACGGTTTGTTTATGCAATTAAATCAAAAAGAAGGAAATCACACTTTATATTGCTGTTTGATGTCATATATGATGTTGTTCCTCTCCACCGCCATGAAAAAAGCCACAAAAACACACCGCTGCACTTCTTGAACGAAGCTGAGTAAATAAGCCGTTAAGTCACATGTAAGCTTCATATATATGAAATGGCATTGCTGCAATACTTTTATTTAGAAAATTACCTGGGATTTTACACTGAAACTGTGTGTGATTTCCTGCCTAGCCCACTGCTAACTGCAGTAATTGACGCATCTCAGAAGCGGCTCACAGAAAACTTGGAACCCAACTCTATCTTTAGCGGTGCGGCGTAGCGTTTCTGTGACGCATTTGAAAATGTCTGCATCGTAGCTGGTTTGTTACACTCCATAGACTCTAATGGATTCTATTTGAAGCAGTGCAGTTTGTTGCCATTTGGCTCCACTTTTGCTTCCAGCGTGCGGTAGGGGTTAGGCTGCTGTTCCCGTGACCCAACTCTGGATAAGCGACTGAAAATGGGTGGATGGATAAATTAGACAGGGAGGTGGAAGAAATGCCCATATTAAACTTAAAACCTGTCCTACAAAAATTAAAAAATAATTTGGATAAATGGGGGAAAATCAGATTAACATTGTGGGGCAAAGTCAATGTAATCAAAATGGGTGTGACACGACAGTTGAACTATGTACTTATGATGTTAGCTATCACTGTGCCGCCTGCCATGTTTACTTGGTATAAGATAGTCAAAGATTTCTATGGGAAGGGAAAAGACCCAGAATTAAATGACTAAATAATGTGTGCCAAAAGACATGAGAGGTTTGGTTTTACCAAATCCTAGATTATGTTACATCCCTCAAAAATGATGAAATTGTCAAAACATTGCATTGCAAACTCAAATTCTCGAGTTCAGAATGGATTATTATTGAGAGAACTCTATCACTGCCCTTTACGTTAAACAAACACCTCTCTCAGAATAATGGTGAGAATATAAATCCTGTAATGACACACTCGAGGAAAATATGGAACAGTATACGTAATAGGCAACTAAGAAAATATCGTTATGGCAATATATCGCAATATTTTTTCCTGCAACATTACATCGATATTCAAAAAACATGTATGGAATTTTTGGAAGATTTTACATGCAAACATTTGTGTATTTTCTTTTCTTTTGGTGAAACTCAAATGCCGACTGCTAGTTGGCAGCAGTGTGCAGTGGGTTTCGTTTCCATCACTGAAATATAAATCCTTCTTAAATGGTTCAGATACCTCATGTTATACATGTTGCATATCAGTTTGGACTGTTTATTGAATTTTCCTACAATAGTTAAGTCTAAATCGTCTGGCTGAATGCATCGCAATATATTGTGATAAATCGTATCGTCTCCCTTGTATCGTGATAGGTATTGTATCGCCAGAATTTCACCAATACACATCCCTAATACATAAAATACTTTAACTGTCCCAGTTCAAGTAAATGTACTGTACTACATGGTGGAATCTCGCAATCTCTATTGTAGTACTCCTGTCTATTGGAAGATCTGGCATACCATGGTACTTGCATATTGGGTGAGCTTTACAATGGCAGTGTGCTAATGTCCTATACTGATTTGATGAAGAAATATAACCAGAAGGGAAAAGACCACTTCTGGAAGTACTTACAGATGAGGAGTTGGGTTATGTCGCTTTACTGACCATCTGAGGAGTACCCTGTTTTAGACTATTCCTTACTGCCTCTGTGCCATTACAGTGTCTCACACTTTAATAGAAATATTAGCCATGTTTTCAGTGATGACCGTAAAAGCCTAAAGGTGTTGTGGAAACAAGATTGTGGGAATGTGGTTGGAGAGGAGAAATGGCTGAGAATGGTTTTGCATACTGGAAAATTTGTTCAAGAAGGTAAGGTAAATTTACACAATACAAGATTTTGTAAAGATATAATAACACGCCTGTTAGACTGAGCAGAATTGGTCTTAAAGGCGACCTGCCATGTCGGAAGTGTCAAAAGGATGTAGGTACGCTTTGGGAAGGGATTATTTGAAGTTTTGGGTCATCTGTTGTACGTATTTTGGGTAATTCAGTGGGAAAACCTGTGCCACTGTGCCCGAGACTAGGAGACAATGGGCAGATGTCAAATATAACAAATGACAAATTCTCTGTCGTCATGATCAGAACTTTTTTTTTTCAATCTTTTATTTTCATTTATTGACATTAAAATAAAAATACAGAACTAAATTGCTGCAAGCCAAAATGAAAAAGGGGACAGAAAGAAGAAAAACTTATGTTGTCTGCCCCTTTTAACTAAAATAACATTAATACAAATGAAATCTGTGGCGGCCAGGTGATTCTTAAATACTGGAAAACAAATATAACACCACAAGTTAAAGAATGGACCAATGTGATGGTTACAACAGCCTCATTCGAATGTATGCTTTATAGACTGAGTGATAAAGGGGTGGCACGGCACCATCCTGGGAGTTGTTTAGGTCCCATATTCTTGATTTGTGACCCTTTGTGTTTGATAATTCCAGGATATCTGACTCTATTATTGTACTTATTGTTATCCTTATTGCTGTTAGTATTAGTATTATTACTGTCCCTATTCTTATATCTACTGATTATGGTTGTTTAGGAGTTCATGAGACACTTTTTGTTCTGTAAATATTGTGTTTATGTTTTTGTCATGTACCGAGAGAATTTTCAAAACTTGATTTAAAAATAAAAACACAAAGCCAAATGCAAAGTTTAGAACAAAACATTGACCCAGAGGGTTCTTGAGCGAGCAGACGCATGAGAATACAAGCAATAACCGCTTAGAGATGGAGCAAGCTAGCGGCTAGTGCTAGCGGTTAGCGTTAGCAGCTACTCTAGTGGCTTGTCTAGCTATATTGACATGACGTCATCTTGTTTGAAATTATATTGAAATTTTTAAAATATTGACGTACTGCCCAGTCTTATTCTGTACTGTGATGTAATGTAAGCAATACATCCGTTTTCATTCTCATTAAGCCTGTCCCCCATTCCATAGACCATCATGCATTTTGAATTGACCGCCCCTCGGCATTAGCCAGTAGCGTTAGCGGTGCAACAACCACAAGGCAAATGTGGTTTTGAAGACCTCTTTTAAAATGATATGTTTGGTTTTCACAGCATGCTCTGGAGACATTTCATCTATACATCTAGGTACACCAGTAGCTCAGGAGGTAGAGCGGGTTGTCCAGTAATGGGACCAGCATGTTCGATCCCGGCTCTGACGAGAGAATGCTGCTGTCGCGTCCTAGTCCAGACACTTAACCTACCTTGCCTGCTGGTGCTGGTTGGAGTGACCGGTGGCGCCAGTGTTCAGCAGGCCTCGCCTCTCAGTGCGCCCCAGGGCAGCTGTAGCTACACTAGTGTGTGAATGGGTGAATGACTGTTGTGGAGCAGCCTTGGGGGGGGGGGGGTTGTAGAACCCATGGAAGGTGCTATACAAATACAGGCCATTTACTATTTAACTTAATCAGTTTTGTGTATTAGTATATCTCCTTAAACAACCCTGTCTGTAGTGAACTTCCTGCTTTACCCTGAGCCGAGTGTGTTTTTGTGTGTTTACTCTGCAGGCCTGGAGAGGTGGGCAAAAGAAAGCACATCTGCCATGTTCCCGGCTGTGAGAAGACATTCAGAAAAACGTCTCTGCTGCGAGCTCATGTCCGGCTGCACACCGGAGAGAGACCCTTCGCCTGCAACTGGGTTTACTGTGGGAAACGTTTCACACGCAGTGATGAGCTGCAGAGGCACACCAGGACACACACAGGTGCTGCAAGCACACAGTTCTTAGTAGAAGAAGCCAATCCTAAGATAAACGGCTGCTAACCATCTGTCCTGAGTACAAACTTATATAATTAATTATTAAAGCGCCTTGGGGGATTGTAGAACTCTAGAAAGCATTATATCTAAAATATGCCATTTAAGCTTTAAGACCCATTGTAACATCACTGATTCTTTTAACATTTTTTAGACACAACCTTTAAAAGTCATCCTGAGATAGAGACTATTAAATGGCATAACAGTGGTGTAGTTTTACTTTCACCAAGTTCCTCCGTCTTAGTTCTCTGTTTCTGCAACGACAACACCGTAACACAATATATGGCAGGAGGGGATTCAGACACCATAACATGCAGCTATTGGCTAGCAGGCTAATGCAGAGCTAACGCCTCAGGAGAGCTAGAATTTCTGCAGTTTAAACGTATTTTGAATCGAACAGTGAAGGCAGAGCAACGACCACTTGTAATGTGAGCAAAGCGGTTATTTAAGATGGTGGAAAAGCCTGCTGCACTAGGGATGGAGAGATTCACCAATCTGGACCGGTGGTTCGTTCATAACGTTAGCGATACGACTGCACCGGTAGCTTCAGGTTGTATCGGTTATAACTGATGGCTATAGAGCTCCGGGAGTTGACGTCACTTGTGCAACAGTTCACATCGAATGACGCCATCTTGGCAGGCAGTTGCCCGCAGTTAGGCTATTGTTATTTGCAGAAAACCCAAATTAGAAACAGGAAATATCGTAGATACCCGTTGTGCCCCAGGATGCCATAACAGACGCAGACGTTATAAGGGAAGAGCCTTCTATAGGATTCCCCAGGATCCAGAACGCCACAAGCGTTGAAACATCGCAGTGGAGCACTCTAGCAACCAGGCTAAAATTAAACTGTGGGATCGCGGGAGCAAAGGTTTATGCTTATGCAGCGATCACTTTCTATCGGGTACTTAAACCAACGTTTCCTCAACTATATATGGTATTTATTTAAAATATATATATTTTATATATTATTTATGTACTTATGTTTTTGGAGGATAAAAACTCTTGAGAGGAAACATCTCATTTTCGAGATAGTCCTCCATCCATACAACATAAAAGATAAATAAAACAGAGAGAACTAAGATAAAATAAATATTTATAGATAAAAATTACAACTAACTGAAAAGAAACTTACACACACACCTCAACTGGCTCCTCTCGATGTGGAGGAGCAGCGGGTCTACTCCGAGCCCCTCCCAGATGACCGAGCTTCTCACCCTATCTCTAAGGGAGAGCCCAGCCACCCTGCAGAGAAAACTCATTTCGGCCGCTTGTATCCGTGATCTCGTTCTTTCGGTCACTACCCAAAGCTCGTGACCATAGGTGAGGGTAGGAACGTAGATCGACCGGTAAATCGAGAGCTTCTCCTTCTGACTCAGCTCTCTCTTCACCACGACAGACCGGTACAACGCCCGCATCACTGCAGATGCAGCACCAATCCGCCTATCGATCTCACGCTCCAGTTTTCCCTCACTCGTGAACAAGACCCCGAGATACTTAAACTCCTCCACTTGGTGCAGGACCTCATCCCTGACCCGGAGAAGGCATTCTACCCTTTTCCGACTCAAGACCATGGTCTCAGATTTAGAGGAGCTGATTCTCATCCCAGCTGCTTCACACTCAGCTGCGAACCGCTCCAGCGAAAGCTGAAGATCACGTTCTGATGAAGCCAACAGGACCACATCATCTGCAAAAAGCAGAGACCTGATCCTCAGGCCACCAAAACGGATGCCCTCCACACCTTGGCTGCAGCTAGAAATCCTGTCCATAAAGGTTATGAACAGAATCGGTGACAAGGGGCAGCCTTGGCGGAGTCCAACTCTCACCGTAAAACAAGCTCGACTTACTGCCGGCAATGCGGACCGAGCTCTGACACCGGTCATACAGGGACCTAACAGCCCGTATCAGAGGGCCTGGTACCCCATAAACCCGGAGTACCCCTGGGGGTCGCGGTCGAAAGCCTTCTCCAAATTCACTAAACACATGCAGATTGGAACAGCAGTAGCTCAGCAGGTAAAGCGGGTTGTCCAGTAATCGGGTTGTCCAGTAATCGGAAGGTTGCAGGTTCAATTCCAGCTCCGACCAGAGAATGTTGCTGTTGTGTCCTTGTGCAAGACACCTAACCTGCCTTGCCTGCTGGTGGTGGTCGGAGGGACCGGTGGCGCCAGTGCTCGGCAACCTCGCCTCTGTCAGTGTGCCCCAGGGCAGCTGTGGCTACATCGTAGCTCATCCCCACCAGTGTGTGAATGGGTGAATGACTGATTGTGTTGTGAAGCGCCTTGGGGGGTTGTAATGGTTGAATGGTCTGCTCAGAAGTTAGTCAGACTCTGCAGAAACCTGAATGTGTTAGAGCAGGGAAACAACTAAAACCTGCTGGATAGGAGCTCTCCAGGACCAGAGTTGGACACCTGCTTTAACTTGTTTTAAATGAGGTCCCCTTCACTATAAGATCACGACTCACCTGTGGTTTGTTTTTGTTTTTGTACAGGAGACAAACGGTTCGAGTGCAACCAGTGTCAGAAACGCTTCATGAGGAGTGACCACCTGACCAAGCATTATAAAACTCACATAAACACCAAGAACTTGTAAACAAACTCCAGCGGCTGTCACACCTGTGTAGCAGCAGGAGATGCAAACGTGTGACTCGTGCAGGGAATCCTCCTCTCACTCCTCCAGGAAGCAGCTGTAGCTGATGTTTATGTAAACCTGCCTTCCTCCAGTTTGATCATCAGTGAGAACTGGGGCTGGACCATAATCCAGTAACCGTCTAAATGGATCAACACACACATGGTCCAGTAGTAAAAACTTATTATAACGTTTCCTTTTTCCGTAATAGCCTGCCCGGTAGCTTAATGCTAGAGTCATCGTCACCAAGCCCCCCCTCCCAGACCTAAGCAGACAGCAGTGTGACTCCAACAAGAAGCTGCAGCAAGGAGAGGCGGAAGAAGAAAGGCTGCAGTCGTTCACCAGAGTGGCCATGTTTCATTCTTACAAGTCCGACAGCAAACAAACAACAGAGAATCCATAAAAACGAGTCCGGCGCTGCTACCACCTCGTTCCGTCACTAAGCAATGGCATAAAAAGGCCAGGGCTGCACTTTAAATATGTTTGATATAGTTTTCAATAATTATTGATATCCATAAATATTTTTATCCATCAGCTTTTTTTCTATGTCGTCCAGCCCCAGTGAGAGCCGAGCGAACCGCTGCAACAGCTAAACCCCGTAGGGTTTCAAATGAAGCAACACACACACACACACACACGGCTCCAGACCTCAGTGCCGGGTCACAGCGGTCCTTCCCAACGACAGATGTTTGGCTGATTGTGAAACATCTGGAGAAGAGGAAACACAAACCTAAAACCGTTTAAGTCATTTCAATAAGACTGATACAGTTTTTTAGGTCATTTGTTCTTCAGCGCTGTTTTTACTGAATTAAAACTCGTTTTCATAGTTTTTCCAAAAGGAAAATAATGACAGTATTTTGGAAAACTTTAGATGTTTACGTCTCCTGCTTTTAAAAGTGTAATATTTAAAAAATATACTGTTAAAAACTATTCATACCTTTCAAAAACATCTGTAAATGGAAAAGCAGGAATGTAGAATAGCAGTTTGTGTTCCACAGGACCACATGCAGTAGGAGGTCAAATCTGATTTCACCTCATAGCTTTAGAAAAGTTGGTTGTCATAGTTACGACGGGTCTGAGCACGTGGAGAGGGTAACTAAACAGGCTCCTAAAGTCAGTGCTGCCCTAAGAGCCGACATTAGGAGCAGCAGCTCACAGCTGCAGCTCACACAGGTGGCTGACCTCAGACCAGCCCACACACACGAGTTGCTGACCTCAGACCAGCCCACTAACACGGGTGGCTGACCTCAGACCAGCCCACTAACACGGGTGGCTGACCTCAGACCAGCCCACTAACACGGGTGGCTGACCGCAGACCAGCCCACACACACGAGTTGCTGACCTCAGACCAGCCCACTAACACGGGTGGCTGACCTCAGACCAGCTCACACGGGTGGCTGACCTCAGACCAGCCCACTAACACGAGTTGCTGACCTCAGACCAGCACACTCACACGGGTGGCTGACCTCAGACCAGCCCACTCACACGAGTTGCTGACCTCAGACCAGCCCACTAACACGGGTGGCTGACCTCAGACCAGCTCACACGGGTGGCTGACCTCAGACCAGCCCACTAACACGAGTTGCTGACCTCAGACCAGCACACTCACACGGGTGGCTGACCTCAGACCAGCCCACTCACACGAGTTGCTGACCTCAGACCAGCACACTCACACGGGTGGCTGACCTCAGACCAGCCCACTCACACGAGTTGCTGACCTCAGACCAGCCCACTAACACGGGTGGCTGACCTCAGACCAGCCCACTCACACGAGTTGCTGACCTCAGACCAGCCCACTAACACGGGTGGCTGACCTCAGACCAGCCCACTCACACGAGTTGCTGACCTCAGACCAGCCCAATAACACGGGTGGCTGACCTCAGACCAGCCCACTAACACGGGTGGCTGACCTCAGACCAGCCCACTCACACGAGTGGCTGACCTCAGACCAGCCCACTCACACGAGTGGCTGACCTCAGACCAGCCCACTCACACGAGTGGCTGACCGCAGACCAGCCCACTCACACGGGTGGCTGACCTCAGACCAGCCCACTCACACGAGTGGCTGACCTCAGACCAGCCCACTCACACGGGTGGCTGACCTCAGACCAGCCCACTCACACGGGTGGCTGACCTCAGACCAGCCCACTCACACGAGTGGCTGACCTCAGACCAGCCCACTCACACGAGTGGCTGACCTCAGACCAGCCCACTCACACGAGTTGCTGACCTCAGACCAGCCCACTCACACGGGTGGCTGACCTCAGACCAGCCCACTCACACGGGTGGCTGACCTCAGACCAGCCCACTCACACGGGTGGCTGACCTCAGACCAGCCCACTCACACGAGTGGCTGACCTCAGACCAGCCCACTCACACGAGTGGCTGACCTCAGACCAGCCAGCTCACAGCAGCTGTTCCTCCTGGTCATCAGAGATCCATGATGGTTATTATTGGTTTCAGTCCCTTTGCTTGTGCTTCTTCACTTGAAGCCTCTGTTCTCATGCAGCATTGAACTTAAATAAGCTACTTGTTTCTGTTGGCCTAGTTAACCACCAGGATACGTTTATTCTGCTTCACTCACCACAAAGTGGAGGAATAGTGTGTCCGCTATGCATCGCTGTACAAATGACTGGAGTGTAAACTATTAGGCCTTACTTGACAATCACATCAAAAGATGTTTAACACAAAGACTACAGGGTTGTTTTATGTTCCAGCTGTATCCGAGCTTTAATTCCTGGCTGGCGTTTGTGACGAGCAGCATCAGGTGTTCTGTGCTGTCCAAATCCCGCTGACTCGTACCAACAGCTCACTAATCTGTTGGAGACGGAGGAAAGATGATTCTGTAGAATAAAAACAAGGCTTTGTGGTTTCTGCCACCCAAAGGCCTCTGTGGCTGCCCTGTGTTCAGTTTCACTGTGTTCAAAGGAAGTTGAGTCCGTGGCGCTGCCTTTCAAACTCTGCATTTATCCCAGACATTTGACCAAAAAGCAGCAGTCAAGTAGAACTTGTTGTTGAAGCACTTTGAGCAACATTTTCTGTCTGCTTCACATGGCTGACAGATGGGTACGCGTAGGTGGCCAACAGGTCTGGCGAAATGCTAATGCCACTTGGATTTATAGCAGATTTATATGTAGGTTTCTCATGTTTCTATGTGTAAATACTCTCTTTTCTTTCTTTTTTAAACTATAAATGTAGGATTATAAAAAGGTTAAGCTGCATAGCAACCTGGAAGGAAAGGACTTTGTACAGTTTGTAAAGGGTAAAATATATTGTGATGATGTATAGCTTCATTCCTGCTTTGTAAAACATGTCTAGGTTTTGTTTTTATTGAATGAAAGATGCCTTAGACAGCTGCGTCCAGTATTTTAACTGTATTATTCTGTCTAATTATAGTTAACATTTGTATCATTTGTGTTTTAAATTATCTTGTATGTATTGAGCACTGATTAAAACCCCAGGTTACAAATTTTGTAAAACTGTTGCAGATGAAATCATGTATTTTGCTTTTTCTGCCCCAAATTAGGGCATTCCAGTGCTCCGTTTGTGTAAATTAAACGTTCCTTCTTCAAAAAGCTTCTATGTCACATTATGTTCTTTAATCAGTTGTTTATTAGAACACAGAGAACCAGCAATTAACTATCTTAATAATTTATTAAAGGTTAAAAAGGTATTAAAGGTGCTAAAACATATGTAGCCCAATTTTCTACAATAATTGCCACAATAAAAAGCTTAAACTTATCTTGATTGCCTGTAATTATTTGGTGATTTTGTGTTGGAGACTAAATGGAAATCATTTCAATACTCATAATTTTCTTGTAGGCTCAGTTTCATTCCATTTTATCAGCCCCACCTGGATCTCCATCACCGAGGTGAACGCACCGCATAGAGAACCCGGTCTGAGTACAGACGTGGACAAAATAGTTGGTACTCTTCAGTCAGTGAAAGAAAAACCCACAATGGTCACAGAAATAACTTAAATTAGACAAAAATAATAAATTGAAATTCTATAAAATGCACGATGATTGAGGTGGTCGGCCGATTAGTTGACAGGTGAGTCAGTCCAGAGTGTTTTTTTAAATGAACTTTTATTGAACATTTGAAAAACGAACAAAAGCGACTACATTTCAAAGTTCGTAAACAGAATGACATTACAGAGTAGCTCCGAAGTTCGTGTTCATGCCAACTTGCATTTTGTAGATATTAATCAACTTGGTATAACAAGACAATAAACAAAACAACAAAACAACAGAAATTGAAGGGATACAAGTAAGAAAACATGAAAAACAAATATGTGTATATAAATGAAAATTTTACAAGGGGGAAGTTTAAGAGCTAACGAGGTCTATTGTGTATACCATCCAAAAAGAGGTTAGAGATTAGTGTTCGTAATGAAATTATAAAGCTTTCTGGCATTGGGGGAGGACATTTCACCGAAGGATCTCAACAGCAGTTGAAGTTCATTTTTGAGATAATTCCAGGTAGGTGGATTTTTGAGATATCGGCATTTGTGTATGAAAAATTTTGAGATTATTAATTAGAAATTTTAATCTTTTAGTATAATGCCAAATAAGATATCGTCAACTCTGAAATTGTTTATATGAATTTGATTGGAGTTCAGCCATTCCTGGAGAGAATTCCACATTAAAATTTTATCACATTCATAGAAAAGATGTGTGGTCGATTCATCGTTTTGTTTGCATAAGTAACATTTTTCAACATTGAACTTAAATCTAGTTTGTATAAAATGGTTAGATGGGTAAATATTGTTCAAGGTTTTAAAATGGACTTCTTCATACTTTGGGGGTAAAGAGAATTTTAGATAGTTGGTTCTCAAAATTTTTATTTCTTCTTTTGAAAAGTTGTGTAGTAACGAGAATCGGAGTATTGGTTTTGGATAAAAGGTTTTGTTTAATTTGTTTCTCAGGAAAATATTATTACATTTTATATTGAAAATTTCTATCCCATCAGCTGCTAATATTTTGAGTCTAGGGTTAAATCTATAACCGATAGAAGCTTTAGCTAGATGAACCAGAGCACTTGGGATATTTTTAATCACCTTATTATATTCATTTTCAGAAATTTCAACATGATGCTTGAGATTTAAGTTCTTAAAGGGACATTATGGAAGTGTGACAGCCAAAACATGTATAGAAATAATAAATGTCTTCTTCAGACATTCTCCTGCAATGCCCTGGTCCTGTAGAATGAGCCCTGGCATTTTTACTGTGATTGCCTGTTTTTCTGTAAAATCACAGAAAAAGAGAGATGCTCGGGTCGAGCAGGCTGCTTCATGCGCGTTCACGCTCAGGCATCGCCCGTAGCATTTGCTATCCGTAGCTTTAGCAGCAGAGAGAGAGGCAGTGCCACTTTGTCGCTGTTCCTAACGCCTAGTGACAAAGCTAGCTACATTTCTGGACCCTTAGCTACTTTCTGTAGAACTTTCTTCTAGATGTTTCCTGCTAATTAGCAACAAAATAGCCATTTTCACTCCGAACCGTTCTTTGAACGTTGTTTCAGTTGTATTCAATGATATAAATGTTACCTCTGCCCCGGGAGCGGTGGTCGACTGTAGCTTCCTGGGCGCTCTATAGGTGGGGGTCTATGCTCCCCCTCCACTGAGCGCCCTGACTTAGTGTGGAAGACCTGATGCTGCCGGGGCAGACGGCTCCTCTGATGACGTTTCCTTGCCTTACCTTACTGGGCTCATCTGGACTCAGCCAAATATAATTTTTACTCGTGTGTGTGTGTGTGTGTGTGCGTGTGCGTGTGTGCGCGTGCGTGTGTGTGCTTGCATATGTCTGTTAATGTTTTTAACCTGTTATGGGAATCTGGGGTCATTTTGTAAAGCACTTTGTTTGAAAAGCGCTTTATAAATAAACCAGATTGATTGATTGATACAGATACAAAGGACATCACTGGCACTATAGCTCACCGAGACGTGAGACGTTGGACTCTCGTGCAGAAGTCCTGGGTTCGATTCTGGATGTGAATATAGTTCATTTAGTGTTTTCTTTTTACATTAATGGTATTTCTTTTATAGTAAAATGCCAGAATTTTTATTTGAGACTCGCCGAACGGCATTGAATTCACAGATAAAAAAGATGTGGGTTCAACTCTCATTTTGGAACAATTTTTCAAGCAAGGGAAGGGAATGATCTGAGCATGCAGGAGGACTGACCCATCATAAACCTTTGTCGCTGTGCTGAAGAGAAAGCTACAGAACCACATTATTTAATTAATTAGCTGCTCGTTCTCCTGTCCTCTGACCTCTGGGCCACACACACACACAGACACACACACACACACACACACACACACACACACACACACACACACACACACAAGGAACTGTCTCAGCTGTTATTTTCGTTAAGGAGTGTGCACGTACAGCATGCGCGCCTCGTGCACGAGCCTACTATTGAAGCTGTCGTTACGCTTTTGGCCTGAGGGGCAATCGCGAGCATAAAAATTCAAAAGACTGTAAAGTCACTTTAAGTGAAAGAATATTTCCATTTTCGTCTAAATTATGTGTCACTGACCAAATTCTTCTGTCCATCCAACTTTTTACACATATGGTTTTGGTTCTATCCAAAATAGTTCTGTTATTCCATATCAGAACATCATGAGGGCTGAAGTTACGTTTGAAAACCATTTTTCCAAAAAAGAGGACTTGTCTGTGGAATTTGGAAAGTTTGAGGGGCAACTTCGGGATTTCAAGATCACATCTTAATAGGAATTCCATTCCTCCAACTTTTTCAAATATGAATTTCGGAATTGTTTGCCAAACTTCCTCTCTGTTGGTTAAGAAGGATTTAAGCCATTTAATTTTTAATACTCCATTCAAAATTAAAAATCTATTGCTTTTATACCACCGTCTTCATAATTCTGAATTAAATCACTTGTAGTGATTTTTGTTCTTCCACATAAAATCAAGATTCATTTTATTTATTTCTTTAATAATTTTAGGAGATATGGCCAGTGACTGAGCAGGTATATCAGTCTGGAAATGGATTCCATCTTTGTTAGAAGAGTTCTTCCAACTAATGTCAGATCTCTCTGAAGCCAACTGTTTAAGATTTTTTTTCTACTGTGTTCAGAAAGTTCTTCTGGTTTCTACCACTTGGAACATTTGTAATATAAATTCCTAGATAGCAGACTTCTTTTTTAACAGGGATAATAAACAAGGAGGTCTCTGGGCCTTCGTGTATTTTTATTAGTTCACATTTATCAATATTGAGATTTAGTCCTGATGTCTCTGAAAATAATTTAATTGTTTTTAAAGCTGTTGGGATTTGATTTCTGTCTTTTAAGAACAGGGTTGACTAACTAGGATAGAATTATCATTTATGTTTAGACCTTGGACTTTAGATGAATAGTGAGCAGCTCAGTGACTAAAATGAATAAGAGGGGGGAGAGACTGCATCCTTGTCTGATTCCTCTTGAAATTTGAAATCTAGGATCCTGAATCCCTCAACGGGAGCTGCCAGTGTACGGCGCTCACAGCTGCAGTCAAACAGGTGGGAGGGAGAGATGAGGGACGGAGAGCACATTGAGTTTCCTGCAGGTTGATGACCTCGAAGCAGAAGCCACAATCTGAAGGCGGGGGGGAGGTCGGGTCACAGCATCTGTCAGCATTCCTCCTTTCGTGGGGGTGATATTGATGGCAGCTTTTGGAGGCTGCTTGGCGTCAGATAAGGATAAACAAGACTTTGTTTAGGGCAGACAGAGATAATTTTCCTCTCTGCCTTGGAGTCTATTAAGTGATCCTTCATGTCCACCAGTGAAGCCAATTATACGTTCTAAACATCCCCACACTGTCCGGCGACCCTCTCCGAGATGACATCCATCTTGCGCACTAACACAGGCAACGTCACGAGGACATTGTCCAGCTTATGGTTCACCTCGAGTAACGTCCCAGTCTGTGAGGTCACCGCACGGGCGGCACATTCCGTGGGTACGGGTCGCAGTCCAATCGCTCCCGTCTTCCCAAATTTCCAGAAAACCAGATGTCCTCCCACTCCAATCAGAAGAAATGCAGTGATCATCAGGCCGAATATCCACAAATCTTCCACGTCCTCGATGGACAACTGAGAGAGGCACACGATTCGCCAGACCTCCCAAGAATCGAGTGCATATCCCGCTGCGAATGTCCCCTCGGGACAGGTGGGAGCCCCCTTCTCCGTTCTCATCGTAGAAAAAAATCTTATCAATCGCGTTGAATGACCAGTTAATTAAGTCCATTTTCCAAAAAAGAAGTAGTGATTTCAGGAGAAATGCAGAGAAGTGCTCTGTAGGCAGACAGGACAGAGAGCCTTGGGGAAAAGCAGATAAGGGAGCTGAAGCAAAAGCGTCTGTACTCTCTGAGAGCTGGAGAAGAAGGGATTTAGAAATCGTTTGTCTTTACCAGGTTTGGGTATTAATTTAATTATTCCTTGTTTCATTGTTACCATTAGTTCATTTGAACTAATACATTCCTTTATAGCATTATAAAGTAAACATTTAATTTCATCCCAAAAATGTTTATAGAAGTTTGACGTCAGACCTTCAGGACCAGGTGAACGACTTTTTTATTGCCTCATCCAGCTCTACTAATTTCAAGTCCACCTCACTCACTTTTAAAACTGTTTTCAATTTTGGGGAGCAACTCCAGAGCGGTAGAAAGTCCAACCCCTCCCAAGGAAACTGGTTCCAGAGCCAGAGCCATGCGTTGAGGTGAGTCCGACTATATCTAGTCGGCACCTCTCAACCTCACACACCAACTCAGGCTCCTTCCCCACCAGAGAGGTGACATTCCATGTGCCAAGAGCCAGCTTCTGTAGCCGAGGATCAGACCACCAAGGTCCCCGCCCTCGACTACCACCCGTCACACACTGCACCTGACCCCTTTGACCCCTCCCACGAGTGGTGAGCCCATGGGAAGGGGGACCCACATTTCCTCTTCGGGCTGTGCCCGGCCGGGCTCTGTGGGTAAAAGCCCGGCCACCAGGTGTTCGCCAACGTGCCCCACCTCCAGGCCTGGCTCCAGAGGGGGGCCCCGGTGACCCACGTCCGGGTGAGGGAACACGGTTTCCATTTATATAATTCATCCTGGCCAAGTTTTTTTATACACGAATGCTAATTTGGCGCTATTAAACCCATCTTTATTGTTTTTCTGACTGAGCTTGGATTTTCTTAAATTATGCAAAGCCAAGAAGGCAGTTTGGTTGTATAACAATTAGCTAAATGCATCCTTTACCCACGTGTTTAATCCGTTTATCACCGGAACCTGCACTTAGATATGGAAATATGTTAGAGCTGCTGTTTGCGTTTGGTTATGTTCCAGTGTGCATCAGTTGGGAGAATAAAATAATAACCGTTCAAATCCCCTGCTCCTCTGACAGCCCGTTTTTGTGCATATTTATTTATTTGAGTGTTTGTTTTTGCACCGATGATGGCAAAATAACATAAAACAAACCAAAAAGAGTTTTTCTTTTAGCATTTTCGTTCAGGCGTTTTCACTTGGCTGCTAACTGTCGGCCAACGGGGTCCTCCCGGGTCCTTCCTGCCCTCAGCCGCCGCTAGCCGCCTGACTCAAACCGACGGCGGAGGCGAAATACCCGACATTAATCTGCAACTGTCGCCAAAAGCCCTTTTTTCCCGGAGCGATGATGGGCGGGAGAACGAGCGCGATAGCTGCGGGGGTGTGCGGGGCTCTGCTGCTCGGCTACTGCGTCTACTTCGACCGGAAACGACGGAGTGACCCCGGCTTCAAGAACAGGCTGCGAGAGCGTGAGTGTCGACCTCCTCTTCCTCCACTCGGGCCAGGTAGCGGAGAACAGGTCCGGTTCGGTTCGGCTCAGTCCGGTCACTTCAGGGTTGTGTATCTTCTCCCCTCCCACCAAACTCCATTCAAATTTAAGCTGTTTTAACGTTTATGTAACCTGCTCACCAGCGCATCTTAGACCCCGCACTAACCAGCTCTTTAAAACGGGATGAAGACCTGAAATAGTAGCAGCTTCACGTGCTAACACGTTAACGTCGTCATACGTTTCACGTGGAGCTGCCAGTAAACCAAAGCCTCCCCCCTCAGCCTCATGAATCCTGGGTTAAACCCAGCGGTCCGCCTCTAATCTGGGGCTGGGGCCTCAGACAGAGGTGTCTAGTCACGCCCCTGCCCACTGACTCATTAGTTCTACCAGCTGGGCACCCATCGGTCATTTAAAGGTAATGTTTATGTTGTAAAACTCAGAAGACCAACAGCTCACACACACACACACACACACACACACACACACACACACACACACACACACACACACAGTGGGAAAGCAACACCTTATGAAGGTAATATCTGCTTAGATTCGGTGTTATTACACATAGCAGACTGTGTGATGGTGCTGATGGTGTCTTCAGTGTTTGTCCTGACACACCTACACACCTTCCTGTGGAACAGGTGTGTAGGTGTCCATCAGGGTGGGGGCAGGGCTGCTGTTCTGTTGATGGCGTCCTCCTAAACCCCGCTGTCCATCCAGAGTCGGGTCTGCTGCTCACCGTGAACGGCAGCTGAAACCAGGGACAGGCAGGGAGATGGTCTGGAACAGGAAACGCTTTAATGGGATGTTTGTATTTTGTCACAGGAAGAAGAACGCAAAAGGCAGCTAAAGAGAGGGCAGGACTGGCAAAGGTGAGCCTACTGAAACCCAGCTGCCGACCCTCCTTACTGTTTGTGCTTGTTGGGTGAGTGGGTACGCAAACAGGGAGTGGCTCAGTGACCTCCACAAGACGGTGGTCATAATGTAATGGCGGTGTGGTGGGGTTGGTCTGTAGGATGTAAACTTGTTTGTTTGTTGGTTGTCGTGCAGCTTCCAGACCTGAAGGATGCCGAGGCGGTGCAGAAGTTCTTCCTGGAGGAGATCCAGCTGGGGGAGGAGCTACTGGCTCAGGGTAACCCCGCCCTAACAGCTCCTGACAGGTTTTCTCTGAAACCATAACAATCAGGGAAGAACGCTTGTAAACGAGAGCAGAATAGTTAAAGGAAGTTGGCGCGCCCTCTTTATTCACATCTGCAGGAACAGCTGGACAATAGGGTCCTCTCTCTGTAGTTCTAGTGTTTGAGTTCTCATGTGCAACACGGACACATCTTTCTGTTTTGGTACAGGAGACTATGAGAAAGGCGTGGATCACCTGACCAACGCCATCGCCGTGTGTGGTCAGCCCCAGCAGCTGCTGCAGGTGCTGCAGCAGACCCTTCCTCCGCCCGTCTTCCAGATGCTGCTCACCAAACTGCCCTCCATCAGCCAGGTCAGAGCACCTCCTCAACACGGCGCGGTAGCGTGTCCAGATACACCCACAAACCCTTCTGCTCTGTCCTGCAGCGCATCGTGAGTGCACAGAGTCTGAGCGAAGACGACATCGAGTAAGGAGCTGAGAAGAGCCGCCCCGTCTCACTCCTCCTCCTCCTCATCTGGACCCCGCCCCTCCACCTCGGCGCCCCAGTCACTTCCCATTAAGGTGTTTTTGTACTGCTGTCACCCTTGGGGTGTTCAGCGGATAAAAGCCAGTCCCTCTCACTCCACCAGTAGCTATGGACGAACTGATCTGAGTGCAGCTGGAGGTCGTGGCCGTGCCAGGTCCACCAAACCAGCGTGATGCCATCAGGAGTCTTCTGTTGTTTCCAGCCTGAAGCTGGAAACGCGTTTTAACGAGAGGGTTCATGTAGAGCGGACCCTCTTGGTTAAAGACCAATAAAAAGTGAAAACCTCCGTGTCTTAACTGAATGTTCTCTTTGGAGATGAGATTTAGCAGATGGGACCTGGTGGGCGTGTTCTCCCGTCAGGCCGGCGGAGCAGAGCTCAGGTCACGGTGGGGTCAGACCGATCATCCACGCAGGTTCTCAGCCAGTAGCTCCTCCCCCAGGAGGGTCCTAACTGAGTGCAGGTGGAGGCGTTGTTGGGCGGGTGGTGTATTTACGCTCCTGGTGAAGGTAGAAGACGCTACCTTTCGTGTGTTGAGCATGAGGTTCCCTGACCTACACACACACTAGCGCACGTCTGGAGTACACCGGGAACGCTTCGTCTCCCGTTTCAGCACTCAGGCAGGAAACTGATTTCAGGAAGTTTTTATTTCAACATGAATAATGAATCTGAAGGCTAGAGTTTACAAATGGAGTCCTGTAAGCAGGAACCGGCCCCACGCATGGATCCCACCTCATTCTCAATCTGCAGTGTTGTCATTTTCAGACTAAAACCTCCAAACTCCGAGAGGACGTGCGCTACTGAAGCAAGCATGTATGACGAGAGCAGAGCTGTAGATGTTCAGACTGATCTTCTGTGGGGATCAGAAGACTCACAGGTGAACAGCCCTGCTCACCTTCTCTCTCTTCTTCAGTCCTTTCTTTTTACTCGTCTTTTTATTAGGCGCTGCCACCTCTCCTTTAAAGGAGCCGTGACTCTTAGACTTCTGGTTTCCACTGGGCCTCTTAGGAGACCTGAAACCTCCTCGACCACACCTCTTCTCCTGAGGTGCACCTTTCACGAGAGCTTTCTTCTGCTTCTCCTTCTTCATCGATCTCTTCACACGGATGGAGCGACCCTCTAGCTTCGAGCCGTCCAGCTCCAGCGCCAGCTGCACCGAGTCGGCGCTCTGTAACAAACAAAACAAACATGAGGACTTCCTCAGGGGAGTGGTTCTTCTAGAGGAGGAGCCTGAGGAGAACACCTTAAACAGGACGTATCCAAATCCTTTCCCTAGTCCGGAGCTCTTGTCCCGCACCAGCCGCACCCCCTCTATGGCTCCACACTTTTCAAAATGCCTTCGGAACACAAACTCCTTCATCTCTGCAAAGACACGACAAATGAGAACCACGCGTCCAGCTGTCCGTCTCCGTCGGCGCCGGCTCTGCAGACTCACCAAACGACAGATTCCCCACGAAGACGGAGCGCTTGTGGTCGTGCTGCAGAACAACAGGTGGGTTAGAAACGAGAGTCCAGGACCGTTTGTCAGTACTCGAGGATGCTCGTACGTTCTTATGGACTAGACAAGGAGGCTCTGGGCAAGGACTCGAGAACGTCTTCTACCGAGAACGGGAGGACGAGGAACAGAACCGTACTCTGTTGCGTCCTGGAGACGAGCGCTTGCTACAGTTAAAAAAATGACCCGACATAAAAATAAAAGCCTAGTTTGTTCTTAAATAACAAACATTTGTATTACATTTGGCCCACTTTTGATCAAAACTAATAAAATACTAGCATTTACGCTCTTCAGTGAATTAAAAAAAAAGCTTACTTTTCATCAGAACAGAGCTACGGTGCTTTTATTTTGAAGGATTGTGAAGAGTAAAACCCAAACACACAGAAAATGTTACAGTTTACACACGATTATTTACAATAAAAGGCAACTTTATCCATCCATCCATCCATTTTCATCCGCTTATCCGGAGTCGGGTCGCGGGGGCAGTAGCCTAAGCCGAGAGGCCCAGACTTCCCTCTCCCCAGCCACTTGGGCCAGCTCCTCCGGGGGAATCCCAAGGCGTTCCCTGGCCAGGTGAGAGACATAGTCCCTCCAGCGTGTCCTGGGTCTACCTTTAGGTCTCCTCCCGGTTGGACGTGCCCAGAAAACCTCACCAGGGAGGCATCCAGGAGGCATCCTGACCAGATGCCCGAGCCACCTCAACTGGCTCCTCTCGATGTGGAGGAGCAGCGAGTCTACTCTGAGCCCCTCCCTGATGACCGAGCTTCTCACCCTATCTCTAAGGGAGAGCCCAGCCACCCTGCAGAGAAAACTCATTTTGGCCGCTTGTATCCGTGATCTCGTTCTTTCGGTCACTACCCAAAGCTCGTGACCATAGGTGAGGGTAGGAACGTAGATCCACCGGTAAATCGAGAGCTTCGCCTTCTGACTCAGCTCTCTCTTCACCACGGCAGACCGGTACAACGCCCGCATCACTGCAGACGCAGCACCAATCCGCCTATCGATCTCGACAACTCTATAATTTTATTTATATTTCTAATATAAAACATTATTATTAGCTTTCTGCTCTAACGTTGGGAGTTTTGCGACGCAATGCATTATGGGAATCTTTGCTGTCCCAAGTCCGCAGAAGGATGCAGCCTCGATACGATGGGCGGAGCAAGAACACATCTGAGAACTTTGAGCGAACTTGCCATGATGCATACTTAGGATTGGACCACTGATGGCTTCTCACAAGGACAGGAGTACACAAGTCCGGACGAGTATGCAGCGTACTGAAAAACGGCCCAGGACCGACGGGTTCGCCGTCACGCTGGTCAGACTCACCGCAGAGCCGGCACCAACCCTGTCCACCCGGATCAGGAAGTCCTTCTCGATCTCCGTCCCGTTCCTGTGAGGACAGGCGGAGCAAACGCGGTTACATCAGACGGAGAGGACCGGTGGTGCTTGTGGTTCCTGTCAGGAGCAGCTTACCTCTCCAGAGCTTTAGCCACATCCTGAGGGTCTTTGAACACCACGTAGGCATTCAGGCTTTGCCTCTGAGGGTGAACTCTGCGTCTGCCACATCAAATGAATGATTTGATGATCCAGCATTCCATCACGGTTCATATGGAAAATAAAATAACATCCTCATTTCAGTCAGAAGCGTGCTTCAGTTCTGACCCGCTCCAGCACAAACACGGATGACCTCATCCCTCACCAACTGGGTCGGACTAAGACCTGAAATGCTTCCTAAGCGGTGCTGAAGCTAACCTCTAGCCCTCCCACTTGTACAGAAACAACAACGTACTTGATAACGGCTACTTTGCGAGTCATGGTGGGATCCTCTCGGACCTGTTGAGTTCAAACAGAGAAACCCAGTAAGTTCAGATGGAGGCCATGACGGGCCAGCAGCCTAGGTTAGAGACACTCTTCTGCTTGTTTTTACCACAGAGCGAAAACGGACAGATTCGATGGCTCCTCCACCTCTGAAGAGCTCCCGGAGAGTCTAGGAAGAAGATGAAAGATTTCAGATCAGCCCAAAGCCCAACAGCACTACGGCCCCGTCTGCTGTCCCAACAGAACCAAAGAACCTTCGAAAGGAAAGGTTGAGAAGACGGAGAACGTCTTGTGAGGAAATTCTGACACTTGTGTGTTTTTGGTGGATTCTGTTAGAATGACAGAAGAGTGTAGGAGGTGAGACAGAAACAGGTGAACTACACCGTCTGGCCAACAAAAGCTCACACACACTAATGTGTCATCGAGCTGCCTTTAGCTGTGATTGTTACGAGCCCCGAGTTCCCCAGCGCTCGGCTTCTACTCCGCTCCGTTTCAGCACCATGGAGAGCGCCCGGCCACACTCGCGCAGCTGATGCGCATCAGGAAATCCCCGGCTGGAGCAGATAAAATCAGCGCAGCGCTGAAGGAGAGGATTATTGAGAGAGAGACTTGTGTTTGGGAACTTTAGAGTTCATAGTTGCCCCCGGATGGTTTAAGTTTCCACCTGCACGGGAAAACCTCCAGGTTTTGAGACTTGGTTGTTGCTTGCTCTTGACTGAGCTTTTGGTTGTGTGGGTGAGTTAGTTCACCAGTGGACTTTTGGGTAAGGCCTCCGGGCAAGCTGCTTTTGTTCCTGGTTTCCCTTTTGGAACCAGAGAGCTTTAGTTCTCATTCTAGTGCTCTTTAAACTATTAAAGTCCTCAGTTTTGTTTCCGCAGCTTAGATTAAAACTCCCTTTGTTTTATTAACCAGGTTTTCTCCCTTAGGGACGCTTTTTGTTAATAAAACTACTTCTTTGGTTGTGACTTGGTGTCAGAACATTCATTATTCATGTTTCTGTGTTAGGCCTCCCAGGATCCTAGACCAGGTTGAGGTCGTAACAGTGATGAAGACGCACATTCGCTGTGGCGTTGTTTCGATGCTTCTCCAACGTCGCCGGACTTATTTCCATCCATGTTGCATTAATGTTTCACCAGGACCTGGCACTGATGACGGTAGAGTCTGACGGCTGCACACCGCTTCTCCAGCACATCCCAAAGGTTCTCACTGGGGCTAAGATCTGGACTCGGTCTGGATGTCTCGTGCTCCCTGAAGCACTCTCTCACCAGCTGAGCCCGATGAATCCTGGTATTGTCACCTAGGAATATGGCTGTGGCGTCAGGAAAGATGGAATAACCCGGTTGCGGCGGTGCGCACAGCTGGGAGCCCACCGGCGCGCACCGGGCCGCAATCAGAAATCAGCCACAGGCGGATTATAAAGGACGGCGCCGCAGGCGGACAGGAGACTGGAGGCAGAGTGGAGGAGCTGGGTGAGTTCCTGCCTGCGTCCCGGCGTGGCAGCTACGCGGTACCTGTGCGTGACAGGTGTAAACAAAGCTGTGTTCAAGCAGAGGCTGTGTGAGTGTGTCCCGTAGCTGGTAAATCGCTACACTGGTCATTCAGGATGTTCAGGTAGTCAGCTGACCTCATTCTTGGAGCACATCCTGTTGCTGAACCTAGACCTGAGCTGATGCTAAGGGGGTGTGGTTAACATGCAGGTCACGTGTCTGACAAGGACCGATGATCCGACCCCTCTCATACAGACCAACATCTTCTCCACGACCACCAGGCGTGTCTCTCCAGATGGTTGTTTAAGGAATGAGAAGCACCAGTTGGGTTAAATAACTTACTGCAGTAATGATCCAATAGGAGGCTCCGACCCATTAGCTTAGTTACATCCAGGTGGAGACCTGAGTTAGAGTTGGGCTTTTTTGGCCAGGCGGTGTATCTATGCTCCTGGTGAGGGTGGACGGTAGGGCTGGGCGGATCGATCTAAAATATCGATAGTATCGATCTAACGTTGGTATTGAGTATTTACTAGATACCTGTGTGATGACATCGATTCAGTTTCTTCTAGCCTGACAAGCCCTGACGTACTCACCGCTACAGATGTCGGTCAACGAGGCAGTCCACCAAACTCCGTCAAAGATGCAAAACACATCCTTTTCCTAAATAAGCGTTAGTACTTCTGTCTGATCTTGGCTCAAACAAAAGCTAAAGTCATAGTAGTCCAAACTTGACGCCAAAGCCGTTTCAAACGTTTGTTTGTTTTCCAATAACATCCCGCCTACTTAGTGTTGCGATTGGCCCATGAAATCTATATAGCGCCATGGTTGGACCACTACAGAACGGCAGCCATCTTGATTTGTAGTTTACCTGGCTGATACATGTGACTGGACCGTTTCAAGCGGCAGCCATGTTTGTTTGCAGGGACATCCCGCCTACCTCGCTAAAAGAGCGCTGTGATTGGCCCAACAAACCAGTAAAGCACTGTGATTGGAACGCCATGGATGTCAGTCAGCGGGGCAGTCCGCCGTTACATAAAAATAAAACAGCGCGCCATCACGAGACGAGCACAGAACAGCAGCAAGCACTGGTGTGGCTGCGTGATGGCAGACCGAAAAAGGAGCGCCGTTTGGAATGTTTTACACCGCTTTATAGATTTCAAATAGGAAATCATCTTGAGCTTGTTAACCATTTAAACCATTTTGAGTTTCCTAATGAAAACTTTATTTGCCTGAAAATGTTCCCTGTATTTTATTATCGTCGTACACATGATGTATTAAAGGAAAACTTACTAAATAATTAAGTCATCAATAAAACTTGAGTTTTCAGACAAGATTCTCATACTGATGAAGAAATCATCAGTATGAGAATCTTGTCTGAAAACGCGAGTTTTATTGATCCTATTTATCTTAATAAATCCCACAAAACTAGATGGTACTCGACTAGTAGTAAAAAGTATCGGTATTGGTATCGGCAATACTAGCCCCTGTATTCGCTTGGTATCGGATCGATACCATGTTTGCAGTATCGTACAGCACTAGCAGACGGTGGGAGACGTTACCTTTTCTGAGCAGCTGATTGGCAGGTTGCCAACAAACACAGTCCTCTTGTTCTTCAAGGCTTCCTCGTGTTTCTGGGCCTTGAGCCTCTGTCTCTTCATCACCCAGTGCTCGGTGTCTTTCTCTCTGCCCATCTCTGAAGACTTTCTCTTCTTCTTAGCAGAGTGCTTCTGGCCCTCCTCCTCCTCATCTGCCTCCTGTAACCCCCCCTCCCTAAACCCAACAAACAGATGGAAGAGGAGGCAGAGGAGTGATGAAGAACAGATAAAAAGATTACATTTGAGTAGAAAACAGAGTCTGTTGACCTGTTCTGTAGCTTCCGGTCAGCTTCTGAACTCTTCCTGGTCGGCTTTTTCTTCTTCTGCCTCAGTTCATGTTTCACCTCCTCCTGCAGCGCCTCTCTCTCTGTAGTCTGCTCAGCGGGCTGCCATTGAGTAATGAATAGTGAGCACCCTTAACAACACGTTCCAGAGTAGATATGGGTTTCCCGTTGTCGATATGTAAGAGACACGGTCAGCCGATGGCCGATATCTAGAATGTCTCTAACATCAGTCGATGCACAAGATTTTGAAGCTGAACCGGTTTTTGAACTTTTAACTGTTAAATCTTAACTTTGAGCGCTGCTCAGTGTTAAAGTCAGACACCTTAATAAAGCAGATGTTACTAGTAAACATAAAAATACATTTGAATTAATCACCGGGCTGCCCGAGGATGTGCCTGACTTTAAATCAGCTTAAGGATAAATATTGGACGATGTGTAAAAAGCGGTGAATATCGGCCAACTGATTTATCGGTCTAGCCCTATTTCAGAGTCTACTTAGAAACGTAGATCTAAGGAGGCTTCAGTTCCAGTGCAGGACCAGGTCTGAACCAGATCCTTTAGCTCCAGTGGAAAACCCCAGACTGCAGCTGTGGGTTCCCTCCTGACGCTCTCCTCCTGAGAACAACCCTATCCCAAACTCTCAGCGACTCATCGTTATTAAAACCTTCACGGTGGGCTGCATGGCTATTTACACACTGTTCTGCTGGTCCTGACAATCAGAAGGTCCCGGATGTACCTTTGGTGCAGACTGAAACAGAGGAGCTGCTCCTGGTCTGATGGAGCTGAACAAAGCTGACAAGGACCCAGAGGCTGCGGAGTTCTGCTGGAGCAGACTTCCTGAGACCTGACCCACCACATAGTCAGCTGACTGCCTTCCAGCTGGTGGTTCTCCACTGAAGAAGAAGAAAATGGTCAAAATGGTGCTAGTTTCCCCAAAACAAGACGAATAAACAACAATGTTTCGTGATCACCACCTTGTCAGTAGCTAAACGCCTTATGGGCCAGAATAGTTACGGTAATCCGGTGATGGACTCACTCAGAAACAGCGGATCTTTCCGGTTAACGCTGCAGCGTCTAAAAAATAAAACGTAAACAAACCTGTGCTTTGATTTCTTCTTCATCATTCACTTCAGACGCCAAACCAGTGACTCTGAGAGGAACTGGTGTTTATTTTAAACTGGTTAACTTTGTTACGAACTCAACATCAAACCCTAAATAAGTAGCATGTTCATCGTCCACATGTCCGCATATTTTCTTCCGGTCCCTCCTTTAATTATGTCCCCATGTGATTAAAAAGTACCTGTCAGTTTTTAGCTAACTAAAGAAATAAATTAAACAAACTAAACATTATTCTAAAAGATACAACTATACTAAATTAAAATATAAAAATAAATGTCAAAACACGTACACCGGAAACCGGTGCCACGTCGAAATCTGCCACTTCCGGGAACTATCGCGTGAAACGTTCTGCCGGTAAACAAGGTAAAGGTGTTTCTCGTTACAGTGGCGACGCAAGCCGGCCGCTGCTTCGCGTTGTTGGAGTGATGTTTAACCCCGAGCAACCGGCGGACCTGCTGGGCAGGAGGGTGGCCATCGGCGGGGAGCGGGCTACGGTGCGCTTCGCGGGCCTGGTGCCACCCACCACCGGTGAGATATGAGCAGCATAATGATGTCTAAAAGAGAGTATTAGAAGTTTTATTGTCAGGTAGATGTACAGCTGAGCCAGTGGGAGGGATTTGTTTCGGCTTTTATGTAAAAACATATTAAAACCAGAGCAAATAAAAACAGACGCAGAAAAACAAGCTAAATGCAAGAGATAAAAGATGCATTAAAGGTGTCAGACCATGCCATCTTAAACCTTTGTGAGCAAAGGTAGGCAGAGCATATGCCATCATCTTTGGTGTTATTGAGATGTCATTTTATCTTCAATATGAGTTATTTTCGTCAGCCTGGCTTTGTACCTGGAAACGGTCTGTTTCAGTAAAACTCCAACAGCCTGAGCCCCGCCGGTTCAGAGAGGCACCTGGCTGCAGACCTCCACTGTCAGTCTGCTTCCGGTGGAGGCTCCACTGTCAGGACGGGAAATGCACGGGATACATTACAAAATAAAACGGCAAACATACCGTAAATCTGTTTGTCTGTTTGTTGCAACCAGCAGGTACAAAAACTAACTTGTTTTTATTTGACTATTTTTCTGTCCTGCCTGTTTATTATCTTCCTGCATCTCCTCTCAATCCTAAAGAGAAACTGCTACCTGGGTTCATATATATTCACCTCATGAGTTACCTTTGAACTGCAGTTCTAAAAGATCTACTGACCGCAAAAACAGCCGAGTGCTCACCGGCCACATCAGTTAGGTGCGTCACCGAGGACAAAACAGGTGATGCGCCCCGATCCACAGCAGCGAAACGCATCAGGCACAAATAAAAGACAGAAAACATTAAAGGAAATGAGCCGACATGAACGATCGCGTGTTAAATTAGGCCTAGTCCACACGTAGCCGGGGTTTTTAAAAACGAATATCCGCCCCTCCAAAAACTTGCATCCACACCACCGCGTTGTAAAAACAAAATCTGTCCACACGTACCCGGATAAGTACGTTGTTAAGGACATGCCAGACCTGTAGGCGGCAGTACTTCCCCCGTTCTTAACCTCGTCCTTCGTCTGTGGTCTTCCACAAGGAGCAGTAATTCCGCTTGCAAAAACAAACAAGCAGAAAGCGCTTGGACAATTGATGGATCGGGTAGTGACAGAGCGCAGCTCTGAGGGCATCCATGCTGTCGGCTAGTGTAAACACATGTCGCACACGTGATGTCAGCATTTTTTTGTCGCGGAAAGTGACGTTGCGGACCTTAAAACTCCGGTTTTTCTGTCCACACGCAGACACCCAAAACGGAGAAAACGCAGATCTTCACTTTGGCCGGAGTTTTTAAAAAGATCCGTTTTCGTGTGAAAAACTCCGTTTTTGTGTGGATGACAGGCCAAAACGTAGAAAAATATCTACGTTTTGGCAGATCCCCGGCTACGTGTGGACAGGGCCTTAGTTTTTGAGGTGGCGACACCTGATTTGATAATGTTACTGTGGCCGTGCTCAGGACGCAGATGTCTGGAGCATATCAACAATCAGAGCTTTGCATGTGCAAGCTGGTTAAGGTTAGGATGGGGGTGAGGGGAAGGTTAAATTGCAAGAGGTTAAAGGTCGCAATTTGGTTAAATGTCCGTTTTACGGCGGGTGTCAGTACCGACGCTCTGGCACAGCGCGTTGCCTCCCGACGTGCAGGAGCTTGTCACCTGCTGACAGCAGGTTGCTGTCTTTTCCGTGGACTGCATCTTGCCGGTCATTATCACGTGACAGCGACTAGTCGATGACAGGCATAACAAGTCACTATAGAGCGGTGAAGTCGACTAGTGACTAGTTCATACAACCCCTGCTACTGCTCCCCAGAGTGTTCTGCAGCATAATCAGCACGTTCTCTTTGAACTTGATATCAAATTTTCGCCTCCTCTTCGTCTCCGCACGGTTAAAGTTACCCTCGCGGTCTATCACTGGCAAATCAAAAGTAAGACGATGACACAACCCCCCCCCCCCCCCCCCCCCCCCGTACTTGCTTGTTACCACATTTCATCCTGCCACAATAAAGAAAACGGCCATTATTCACCTCCGCCGACTCCGACACCGGCCAAAATATGATACCCGGCAGTTAATTAAATACAGGCTAATATTAGAGGATTTACAGTACATCTGCTGTGGTATTACACCTACGTATTATACACCTGCTATGGTATTACACCTACGTATTATACACCTGCTGTGGTATTACACCTACATATTATACAGCTGCTGTGGTATTACACCTACATATTATACAGCTGCTGTGGTATTACACCTACGTAATATACATCTGTTGTGGTATTGCACCTACGTAATATACATCTGCTGTGGTATTACACCTACATATTATACACCTGCTATGGTATTACACCTACATATTATACACCTGCTGTGGTATTACACCTACGTAATATACATCTGTTGTGGTATTGCACCTACGTAATATACATCTGCTGTGGTATTACACCTACATATTATACAGCTGCTGTGGTATTGCACCTACGTAATATACATCTGTTGTGGTATTACACCTACGTATTATACAGCTGCTGTGGTATTACACCTACGTATTATACAGCTACTGTGGTATTACACCTACGTATTATACAGCTGCTGTGGTATTACACCTACGTATTATACATCTGTTGTGGTATTACACCTACGTATTATACATCTGTTGTGGTATTACACCTACGTAATATACATCTGTTGTGGTATTGCACCTACGTAATATACATCTGCTGTGGTATTACACCTACATATTATACAGCTGCTGTGGTATTGCACCTACGTAATATACATCTGTTGTGGTATTACACCTACGTATTATACAGCTGCTGTGGTATTACACCTACGTATTATACAGCTACTGTGGTATTACACCTACGTATTATACAGCTGCTGTGGTATTACACCTACGTATTATACATCTGTTGTGGTATTACACCTACGTATTATACATCTGTTGTGGTATTACACCTACGTATTATACATCTGTTGTGGTATTACACCTACGTATTATACAGCTGCTGTGGTATTACACCTACGTATTATACAGCTACTGTGGTATTACACCTACGTATTATAAAGCTGCTGTGGTATTGCACCTACGTAATATACATCTGCTGTGGTATTACACCTACATATTATACAGCTGCTGTGGTATTGCACCTACGTAATATACATCTGTTGTGGTATTACACCTACGTGTTATACAGCTGCTGTGGTATTACACCTACGTATTATACAGCTACTGTGGTATTACACCTATGTATTATACAGCTGCTGTGGTATTACACCTACGTATTATACAGCTGCTGTGGTATTACACCTACGTAATATACATCTGTTGTGGTATTACACCTACGTATTATACACCTGCTGTGGTATTACACCTACGTATTATACAGCTGCTGTGGTATTACACCTACATATTATACAGCTGCTGTGGTATTGCACCTACGTAATATACATCTGCTGTGGTATTACACCTACATATTATACAGCTGCTGTGGTATTACACCTACGTAATATACATCTGTTGTGGTATTGCACCTACGTAATATACATCTGCTGTGGTATTACACCTACATATTATACAGCTGCTGTGGTATTGCACCTACGTATTATACAGCTGCTGTGGTATTACACGTACGTAATATACATCTGTTGTGGTATTACACCTACGTATTATACATCTTCTGTGGTATTACACCTACGTATTATACAGCTACTGTGGTATTAAACCTACGTATTATACAGCTGCTGTGGTATTACACCTACGTAATAAACAAATGCTGTGGTATTGCACCCACGTAATATACATCTGCTGTGGTATTACACCTACGTATTATACAGCTGCTGTGGTATTGCACCTACGTATTATACAGCTGCTGTGGTATTACACCTACGTAATATACATCTGTTGTGGTATTACACCTACGTATTATACAGCTGCTGTGGTATTACACCTACGTAATATACATCTGTTGTGGTATTACACCTACGTATTATACAGCTGCTGTGGTATTACACCTACGTAATATACAGCTGTTGTGGTATTACACCTACGTATTATACATCTGTTGTGGTATTACACCTACGTATTATACATCTGTTGTGGTATTACACCTACGTATTATACAGCTGCTGTGGTATTACACCTACGTAATAAACAAATGCTGTGGTATTGCACCCACGTAATATACATCTGCTGTGGTATTACACCTACGTATTATACAGCTGCTGTGGTATTACACCTACGTAATAAACAAATGCTGTGGTATTGCACCCACGTAATATACATCTGCTGTGGTATTACACCTACGTAATAAACAAATGCTGTGGTATTGCACCCACGTAATATACATCTGGTGTGGTATTACACCTACGTATTATACAGCTGCTGTGGTATTGCACCTACGTAATATACATCTGCTGTGGTATTACAACTACGTATTATACAGCTGCTGTGGTATTACACCTACGTAATAAACAAATGCTGTGGTATTGCACCTACGTAATATACATCTGCTGTGGTATTACAACTACGTAATATACATCTTCTGTGGTATTACAACTACGTATTATACAGCTGCTGTGGTATTACACCTACGTATTATACAGCTGCTGTGGTATTACACCTACGTATTATACAGCTGCTGTGGTATTACACCTACATAATATAACCCTGTAGGTGATTCTCCTAATACTGTTACCTAGGTTACTCTGTGCCCTCACCGACTGTGCAATATTACCCAAGAGTTCTGATTGTAAATATGTTTTTATCCCCCCATCATATCATACGCTGCTACAAACCCTTGTTCTATTACACAATACTTTAATCACTTTTGTGAATCGCCTGCACCAACAGCTTAATTACTTATTCACAAGGATGCAGTCATGTATTTAATTATTGAGATATGCGATTGTTTGTTTTGCACTATCCTACATGGTACTACTGTAGATCATTTTTTTAATGTATATCATATTTCTGTTTCACCTGTTCCTTTGTCTCCGACTGCTTTGAGCATGTACATGACACAAGAATTTCCCTCGGGATAAATAAAGTTGTTCTTATCTTATCTTATCTTATCTTATCTTATCTTATACACCTGCTGTGGTATTACACCTACGTATTATACACCTGCTGTGGTATTACACCTACGTAATATACATCTGCTGTGGTATTACACCAGTGTAATGTACACCTGCTGTGGTATTACACCTGCATAATACACACCTGTAATATCAACACATGAGCATGGTGACGGAATCATTGCCATGACTACTTTCTTTATTATTTCTGCCATCAGGCTTTTGGCTCGGCGTGGAATGGGACGACCCAAAGAGAGGCAAACATGATGGCACCCATGAAGGAGTGCAGTATTTCACATGCAGGTAGATAAAATAACCCTAATGCCCTAATGGTTAGTGATCTGTAACAAGATACAAAAGGATGACATTCTTAAGTGGTTTTGATTCATATTCCCGTGCCACAGACATCCTACAGGAGGCTCTTTTGTTCGCCCAGAGAAGGCGAGTTTTGGAGTGGACTTCCTGACTGCTGTGCGACGGGAGTATGAGTTTGACACAGAAGAGGAGCTGAGCCAGGAGGTCATCATTTCCTCCAAAAAGCTCAAGTGGTCTGATGTTCAGTGCAGGTATCATGTGTCTGTTATGTTTTCTATCAGTGAGAGCAGAAATGAAATGCTGCCACTTGTTTAAAAGGATCCTAGGCACTGTTACTCGTCATTTCAGTACAAACTGGCTCAAGAAGATGTTTTAAAATGATAATAAAGCTGCAAAGTATGCCTTTAAAGGCAGGTGTGACAGAAAAAAATGTAATTTAATGAACTAGAAATTTAAATGGACTTGAGGGCTCAGCTGTACTCCAGATCTCTGAGAATTCCCCCGATACCAGACTCCAGTCAGAACCAGAGGATTTTTGATGTCATCTCATTTTAATCTGCTTTTCTGGACGTTGTTTAAAGCTGTCTGCCTTCAGAGTTTTCTACATGCAGTTGTCCAACCTTAGATAAAATATTTAGATCCCTAAGATATTTCTGCTGCCTTTTCCAAGTCTCTTCTTTTCAGAGTCTGACCAGCAGCTACAGATTAAGCTTTGCTAAATGATACATGACATGCAGCGCCTGTCTGAGTCAGGCCCAGGGGACTCCAAATGGCTTTTCACTACCAGGAATATTTCATCCATTCACACACTGGTGGGGATGAACTACAATGTAGCCACAGCAGGCAAAGAAGGTAATGTGTCTTGCCCAAGGACACCAGGACTGACGTGACTGCAGAAGCTGGGGTTCTAACACGCAACCCACTGATTACTGGGCGAACTCCTTGACCCTTGACCTGCTGTCCTCCGTTGCTGCATTCTCTCGTTATTGTGTGGCAAACAGATCATCATTTGCTGCTTTTCGATCTCTGGGGGCGCCCTACTTCAAGAACCCCCCCGGCGCTGTGTTACACCGATGAAGTTTAATTTATTTTCATTTCTCGCTTCAGCTGATCTGGAAAAGGAATAATTATTATTTTTTGTTCAGATTTGAGAAACTCCCAGTAGCGATGCTGAAGTACTGTGAGGTGAATGGACCGGGGGAACCTGGAGAAATCAGGAATATGACACCCAGTATCCTAAACCATGTTCCATGTTTACTTTGGGAGTCTGAGAACTTGGTCACCCTATAGCTGACCACAGTCTCACCATGCTAGCTGGTATTTTAGGCATGCTAACGCTAAAACAATATGTTCTTCGGTGGGATTGGACAATATGTGTTCCACTCATTTACCACGCTAACAGGCGCTAACTGCCATTAGCAGGTTTTATGTAGAAATTGTGAGCTTAGACGGGTCAGGATCCTTAGACCTGGGGACTACTTGGGTTGCTTGTCCTACTGGAACGGAAAATTCCTATTTCTGATTTCAAAGCAAAGGCACCATGAAGAAGTCACGTCACTCTGCTTTTCCGTCGTGTTGGAAGCTAATCCGACTGTAGTTTCCAAGATATGTAGGCAATAACTGGTGTTCCTTCTTCGTGGTGGATTTTCCATTCCATTTATTTGATAAAGCACATTTAAAAACAGCATGTGAGCTGACCAAAGTGCTGTACAGGGGTAAAAACATATAGGGTTAAAAGAATAATATAAAAGAATAAAACAACTAGAGCAGAACAAAAAGAACCATGAGAAGTCAATAAAATCAGTCAAAGAACAGTGTAAATAAACCATCGATAAAATAGCTAGGTAGTAAAAGCAAGAGAATAAAAATAAGTCTTTAAGTGGGACTTAAAAACCCCAATGGAGGAGGAGATTCTGATATTCAGTGGGAGATCATTCCAAAGTTTTGGAGCGCAGACAGAAAAAGCTCGTTCACCACGGGTTTTGCAGCGTTGACGGGGAATCTGTAGTAGGTGTAGGTCACCTGAACGGAGAGTCCTGCCTGGCACATAAGGAGTGAGTAACTCGGATATGTAGGGTGGTGCTAAGCCATTCAGCGCCTTAAAAACAACAATAAAATTTTAAAACGTATGCAGTAGTGCACAGGAAGCCAGTGAAGTCTTGCTAAAATTGGAGTGATGTGCTGACGACGGCCAGTATTGGTCAGAAATCTTGCCGTCGTATTTTGTATCAGCTGAAGGCGAGATAATGCAGCTTTTGAAATACCAAACAGAATTGCGTTGGAGTAGTCCAACCTTGAGGTGATGAAAGCGTGAATGGTTGTCTCGAGGTGGCTGCTCCAGCAAAGATAAAGAATAGAATAAAATTGATCCCACAGCGGGGAAATTCACTTGTTACAGCAGCACTTAGGAGAAGTAAAAACAAAACACCGTAAGCTAGTGTTGTAACCTTCAACCACTAAAACCACAAATAAAAAATGAAGAACTTGGTTTCTTGAACTTTGCAGCAGACTGTAAGGGACACAGACACGCCATGTAAGTCCGGTATCTGAACACATAATGAGTGTTGCACTGGTGGTGTTGTACACCAGGAGGTGTACACTCCTACTGCAGAGGGGATGAATGACCTACGGTAGCGTTCTGTTTTACATCTGGGATGTCTCAGTCCGCCTCTGAAGGAGCTGTCCATGGTCTCCACAGAGGAACGCAGTGGGTGGGAGGGGCTTTTAAGATGGTGGTCATCTTCCCCAGCATCCTCCTTTCACACGTCTCCTCAGCTGGACCCAGTGGGCAGAACTCTAGCTTTGTGAACTAGCTTGTTCGGTCTCTTCCTGTCGCGGTCAGAGCTGCCTGCAGCCCAACAGACCAGCAGAGTGATGAAAGGATTTTAGCTCTGGAGGACTGAGCGTTTCATCTCTGCTGGACAAAACAGATTTAACGGTGGAGATTTTGTCATCTAAGTAAAATAATTTAAAAATGTGTCATCTAAGTAAATAAGATCACCAAATGACTACCGGTACTCTTAAAAGGAATCTGAAGGAAATAACTATTAGCTTTGTTTGGAAGAATTTGTTTTATTTTGGAAGATTTCAAGGCTGAAAACAATCGGGTTATGCAAATAGAAAAAATGCTGGAAGTGCTGCAGGGGTGTGAGAAATCTTATCTGGTGCTCTCACTGGTGCTCTTCAGCCAAGGGATCCACATAAATGTTGGCAAAAGGAGATCTGAGGCACTCAGGAGGTACAAAAATAAAAAGCCTTTATTAGTACATGGCTTAAATCGTTAAAAACATCAATTCCAACGCGTTTCGCGTTTCGCGTTGGCATTGATGTTTTTAACGATTTAAGCCATGTACTAATAAAGGCTTTTTATTTTTGTACCTCCTGAGTGCCTCAGATCTCCTTTTGCCAACAATCGGGTTATGTTTGCTGGGTGATTTTCAATGTTTTCAAATTCACTGAAAAACTTAATTCTGAAATATAATCAGTCTGAGTAAACATGAAAGTAGTTTTCTTTTCCTATTTCTCACATTCGGCAAAGACGGTGAAACTCTAGGATGTGAAAATCCTGACAGGTCTACGTCACCCTGTCACTGACATTCATGGACTCACCCATCTGGACTCACGACGGGGACGGCTGTTATTGGTTTAGCGTCCAGGAAACAGCAGATAACATCTTGGCTAGTAGAAGCTAACCGTTAGCATTAGCAACTCCACCACACAGCAGAACTCCTCCAGGTTTGTGTTATTTGTGGAGATAAAACATCGCCGTTGCAGAGCAAACAGTCGGTGGTAGAGTCGTGTTGCTGTTAGCCAATCAGACGAGAGATGTCCACATATCAGGAAATGAGTCCAGGTCTCGCCGTGTTCTGCTCCCAACTCTAACGCCTCTTTCCTGAAACACCTTCTAACCCTAACCCTCCTGAAACAGGAAAGTGACAACTTTTTTTCCACCGACACCGCAAATGTCCAGAAACGACGAGTGAACTTGCTCTTTAACTGCAGTGATCAGATATAGAGTTTTTGAACCTTGACGGGTCTCTGCTGACCTCCTGGGAAGACGTAGCTGCCATCACCAAACAGCTGGACCAACTGCATGAGCTGCATCTCAGGTGGGGCTTCTTTTGAGGACTAGGTGTGTGGTTTTTGTCCTGTCCCACTCTGAGCATTAGTGTCATGTTTTCATTTTTCAGCGAGAACAGACTGAGGTTGCCCTTTGACCCCTCAGCTCATTGCCTGGATTTTTCCAGCCTCAAAACCCTCATCCTGAACCGCTGTGAGCTCACCTGGAAGCAGGTAAACACAAAGAGCAGTCTGAGCCTATAGCAGTGTAACTAAAGGGATGAGCTGAGATAACCCAAGATTAGAGACTGTTTCTTATGTCAGTTGAACCTTTTTGTGTTGATGGTTTTATTTTATAGATATTTATCTAACTGGTTTCATCCATCTGCTCTATTGCCTGGTATGGCCACCTGCCAGTGGGACGTCAGACCCACGTGCCACGGATAGTTAAAGTGACAGTGTGCGTTTTCCCTGGCGATGGGGGGCAGTACATACCTAAGTCATAGCAAGCAAGCGGTATTTTTGTGTTGGGCTAAGACGTTACCAACGGACGGCCTTTAGGGTTAAAAATCCCAGGGAGCGCGACCTCCGGCAAAATAACAAGAACATCAGACTCCCTTTCATCCGTGGTGACGGGTGAGGAGGTAAATGTGTACAACAACAACGTTCATGAATGGTGAATGTTTTGTAACCGCTTGTTACAAATCAGGAAATGTGTTTTGTCCTCACAGGCTTCCGTAGAAGGAAACACGGCATCGCCCAGAGGCCTAAACCCTCGTGTTTTAGACCCGATGTTTATGGTTAAATGTTACAAAGTCGCATTTCTTTTTCAACAACTGGGAATCATTAAATTAATTTTCAACAGCATTTCGATGGATATTTCCAGAGATGAACAGTAAAAACTACACATTGTCTCTTTAGTAGGGACTATCAGAGCAGCCTGCCTGATAGCTGGCACAGACCACTGGGTAGGAAGGCAAACGGGATCCTAACCAGCACCTTTAGGGAAGATGCACAGGCTGCCACCTATTGGTGCACAGGTGCAATTGTACCTGTGGCTATAAAAGCTTAGAATGAGCAGAAACCATTCAGGATGGTCTCTGATCATTTCAAACGCGGGTGCAATGATGTTGAATGTGTGGACTGTTGTGGTGCTCCAGGTTTCCCCATGAGGGGCAATAAAGACTGGCCTGAGCTAACTCACAGACGGAGGCGGTCCCTCCGACCACCACCAGCAGGCGAGTGGGCTAAGTGTCTTCCCCAAGGACACAGCAGCATTCTCTGCCAGGATCGATCCTATAGCCCTCCCATTACTGGACTTCCCGCTCGACCTCCTGACCTCGACCCAAGAACAGCCTGGGGTCCATGACCCCCACAAGGGATTGAGAGGTTACCAAAATTACATTTGTATAATCCCAACAACGCCCCCAACCGTGTAACCAGACTGAGCGTAAGACGTAAAACTGTCTATTAAGTTTGTAATTAATCACTTTCAGCGTGTGGGTGGGAGGTGAGGTCGGGGGTCCTGGCTTGTCTTGATCACAAGCAAGCGGGTCATCAAGGAAACCCAGATGGGAACCACGGTTCTAGAAGGTGGATGAAGATTCCCAATCGTCCTGGGATCTCAGCCTGTGATGACAAACATGCAGCGTGCTGTCCTGTTAGCTTTAGCCATGACAAACTCCAGCCTTGGACATGGTGGCCTGCAGCTGGAGCCCGTGGTGTGTGACGTCATAGTCTGGTTGTAATCTGTGGTGTACTGAGGTTGTTAACTTTGATCAGATCCTGGAGTGCGCCCCCATGTGGCCACAGCTGGAGCATCTCTCTGTGGAATACAACCAGATAGCAGAGCTGCAGAGGTAACCCCGCCGTCAGCCCTCACGGTCTTCACCCGCGTCGCTGTAAGACCCACATCATTTTCTCTTCTGTCGCTTCAAGGCCAGAAGGAGTGCTGCAGACACTGGTGCATCTCGACCTGTACGGTAATCCTCTGGTGCAGGACAGCTTGCTCAGTATCTCTGCTCTGCCCAGGTACGCGTCCTCAGAGTTCGCTTTGGTGGCTTGTGTGGGAGAAACAGACAGTCTGGGAAGCTGCAACCCTTACCTTGAGAAAAGCACATGCCATCATGTCTCTTACAAAATAAAACAATATAGTACCAAACATTTTACAGGATCCTTAAAAGAAGTAAATGTGTAGAGTTCTACATCTTCATTCAGTTTAAATTTAACATTTTTGTCTTTTCAAAAAGCAAAACATGAAAAAATCAGATAAAAAAAAGATCTTTTATTTACTTCTAGTGCAGGAGAGCCTCGTGTAGAAGGGTTCTGGTTCTGATCCTAACTGCAGCCGTGTTCTTTTCTGGTGAATTACAGACTGGACTGTCTGAACCTGACTGCTACTGGAATATCTGCCATCCAGTTTGAAGATGCCCCTCCAGGTGAAACAACTTTGGATCCTCTTTGTGAAAAGAGCCTCCCAGGTTGAAACTAAATGTGTTCCCTTCTCCGTAGGACGCCACACTTCCATGTTTCCTGCTCTGACGCACCTCATCGTGGATCAAAACAACATCACGGAGGTCGGTGTGTCCTCCCTCGTTTAAAGGGGACAAATAAAGCAGAAACCCCTTTTAGTGTGCGTCGTGCTGCCATGTGGCCTCCACTGTCTGCAGAAACTCCAGACATGAATGAAAACGGCCCATCTATTTTCAGGAATCATTTGCTTCTATAAGCTGTTTAAAAATGTCTCTTATTGTGATGTCATAAGGGACATGAGCATAGAACCCTGCCTCACCTGTCAACGCTGGAGGAGCGGCAGCTCTACGGGAGGATCTTCTTTTTGTCTGTGCTCACGCGCGATCGGCTGGCTGTCCAAAACAAGCTGCTATCGATGCGTGACGTACACTTGTGTGTGAGTTTAGGGACAAAATCCCCAACATGTAAACACGTGAACGTCTAAAGACAAGAGGAGGTTTAGTGAGAAGCTTAAAAGGTTATTTTTACTGTGGGGCAGCAGTAGCTCAGGTGGTAGAGCGGGTCGACTCATGATCGGAGGGTCATGGGTTTGATTCCAGCTCCTGCCAGGGGTACCCTGCTGATGTGTCCTTGGGCAAGACACTTCACCCAACTTGCCTGTGTTAGTGGTGGTTAGAGGGGCCGACGGCGCCAAATGGCAGCCTCGCCTCTGTCAGACCTCCCCAGGGCGGCTGTGGCTACAAGTAGCTTACCATCACTAGCAGTGTGTGAATGTGAGAGTGTGTGAAAGCGTCTTTGGGTCTCTAGAAAAGCGCTATATAAGTTCAATGCATTATTATTATTATTATTATTATTAAAGCCTGCATGAGCTCTGGGACGACGGAAAACTTCGGTCTGATTCCCCGGTGTTAGACTTTTTTCACCAATCTGCTGATTATTCCTACTCAACAGAAGCCCTGGACCCTTCACTCATGAAAAATTAAAGGCTTTCAAATGGCTGCAGGCCTACGATTATAATTTTAAGGAAAGCTGAGCCGATCTCGTCTGAAAACAGAAGCCGTGGTGATGCTAACAGCAGCAGTTAGCTCCAACGAGCAGAACCAGCGTTGTTTACATCACCTGTGGGTGACGGCCCAAGAGAACGGATAAATGCTCACAGCGACTAAGTCGTCATTAATCAGTATTTATTTATTATCATTATAATGATCACGGGTTGAGACGCTTGTACTAGAACAGGAAAACAACACGACTCTGGATTTACGAATGCACAAAGATGAATGATTTCATAAAGATCTTCTCTAATTAACAAACAGGACTTCCCGTGAGCTAATGAGCCTCACAAACGTCGCCGCAGGAGTCCGGGCTCTCTTCAGAGTCTGGGTCGCTACCTGTCATCACTTTCGTTTACGGAGGAAATTCTAATAGAACTTTTATCACGCCTCCCACGGGCCGGACCATCGACCACACAGCAGGAATCGTCTGCTTCGCTGAATCCTCCAAACGTGCAAAACAACCAAATTCTTGGTTAAATATGTTGTTCGTTGCCACCCAGGTTCCACGATGCAATGCGAGAAACAAACACTGACGTCACAAGAGATCCTCCTATTGCGAGCCATTTTCGGAGAGCCGATTTCCTCGCCTCATAGCAGCCAATCAGAGGAGGGGTGGGTGTGGCCAGCTGCAGCTTGTTTCTGAGCGTTTCACAGTGTTTTTTGTCAACGGCAAACCTACCCAAAGAAAGAGTAGACTCACTTCTTACATCAGGAAGAATCGGCGTGTTTCCAGTTTTATCCGTTCTTTCACAATCTGTTGTTGGAGTGTGAGCTGCAGAAGCTTCCGGTTGGCGCCCCGCCTATTTTTACAGCAACGTCCCAAAGCGATGTCGTAATTCGTGGATTTTCTGCTTCCTGATCACATGACGTGTGACATACGCGGGTGAAGATCAGCTTTAGAGACGTGATGTTTACTCTCACGGTGCGGGGCTCGTTCCCACGCCCGCCCCCGTTAAAAAATGCAGTGAGTTACCATGACGAGGCCCTGAAACGGCTCATTCTGGAAGGTACTGAAACTGCCAAGAACAAACAGCTTAGATCTCTTTATAGACCCGTTTTAAAACAGGTCTACTATATGATGTCCCCTCGGGAAGAGCACATGACTGGCAGCTGGAGGGCTGTTGGTTCAACCCCCGTAAGCCCCCACGCCCACCCCCTGCCATGCATTTCTGCTTCACAAACGTTTGTAGTAGCAGGGCGCTAACGGACGGCTGACTGTGTGTTCACACGCTGCTGTGTTTGTGCAGAGGCTCGATTCACAGACGCAGCCATGAGAGCATCCCACTGAAACCACTTACCTTGAGGGCAATGACCAACTCTACTTTACCCCCCCCCCCCCCCCCTTTCTGCCCCTGCCCCATGTTCCAGTGGAGTGTCGTGAATGAACTCAGCAAACTTCCCAGTTTGAAGAAGTTATCATGTCGAGGCAACAGGCTGGTGAGCAGCGATGGAAACCCAGCAACAGCCAATCAGATGCTTATCGCCAAACTTGGACAACTGGTCACCCTCAACGGTTGTGAGGTGAGAACGTGTGTGTGATGTTAACTGCTGTTCATGTGAGTCTGAAACCAGCCTGCCCCTGGGACCAGACTGGTGGACGGCGTTGTCCAGGTGGTTAACCCCCTAATAATATTATTATTAGTAGTATTAATGAGGAGTTTGGTCCTCTGTTGAAGATCTACAGAAAATGTATTTTCTCTTTTGTTCTATTTAATTTCATTCAGAAGGAAAAATAAAAACTGAGAGTGGAAATGAGCAGAAAGAAGAGTAAGCGTACGATATCAGCTCCTTATTACACCTACAAAACATTCTAATCAGACTTTTACAGCATTGCCTATTGAAATAACAACAGTATAGTCCATGTTTACATTATTTACAAATCTTTACATTTCATGGTATTTGTCCAGTGTTTTCACCTTTGTAACGCTTCTGTAAACGTGATAACTGAAATCACGTGAACCTTGTGAACCCAGTTCCAGTTTTCAGAAATCATCCCTCCGTGTTAGTCAGACGCTCTTCATTATGTAAACTCCTGCGTGGACGTCCGCTTTGTTCCTCAAACTCAGAATCAGCTGATTTCTGTTTACTTCAGGCAAACCCACACATGTTCAGAGCAACGTGTAAACCTGTTTCTGTGGTTGTGTCAGATCGAGCCCTTGGAGAGAAGGGGGGCGGAGCTTGACTACATCAAAATGTTTGGAGAAGAGTGGCTTAAGGCGGGGGGACCGGGTCACCCCAGCACCCACTTCACCAACCAGCACCCACGCTACCAGGAACTCATCAACAGTAAGTCAGTGCTGACGCATTCAAGGGTCCACACGTATGGCTGCTTATTAAAGGTGTGTGTGTGTGTGTGTGTGTGTGTGTGTGTGTGTGTGTGTGTGTGTGTGTGCGTGCGTGCGTGCGTGTGCGTGTGTGTGTGCGTGTGTGTGTGTGTGTTAGAGTATGGAGCCCCAGAAGAAGGCGAGCTGAAGAAGCCTGGTCCGTCTGTTCTGAAGAATCAGCTGTTAAGTATGTTCTGCTCATTTGGTTCCACGAGGTTCTTGTGCTTTTATTTGATGTGTGTTTAGTTCTGTTGGAGGGCCCAGACCATCGCCACACATTATTGTATATATATGTAGTGTATAACACACCTTTTTCATAGATCCCTGCCTTCCATGATGCTTTGATTTCCTCTTCATGATCTCGCTGTGACCCCGTAAACATCACTCTGGTCCTCAGTGGTGGTGGTGGTGGTGGGGGGGGGGGGGTATGCATTTGGTGCCTATGCAGGTTTCCCAACTAAATTCACAACTATGTAGCCAAAGTAGGCTGCCATAAAATAAAAATAAAGTATTAATGTAGCAGATTGCTTAGGACAACCTGTGATGTCACTGTGAGTCAGCTAGCTGGCCCAGGCACAGACATACAGGTATATGTACGTAGACGCCCCTTGGACTGGTGCTGGTTAACGGAGCTGCTGTAGTCAATGTCAAGTTTATTTATAAAGCACATTTCCAACAATCAAGAGACTGCACAACGTGCCAAACGCACACAAGCAGCAACAATAACATGGTAAAACACTGAGAAACATCCAGTAGACCCTAAAATTAATGAACGATGAAATCAGTTAAGAGCAAGGGTACAAAGGTAGGTTTTTAAAAGAGACTTAAAGGTAGAAAGGCTGTTAGCAGAGCTAATCTGTAGGGGAAGGCTGTTCCAGAGCTTGGGAGCGGCCACAGAGAAGGCTCTGTCGCCTCTGGACTTCAGCCTAGACTTGGGAACAGGTATTAGATGTAGAGCGGATGATCGGAGGTTTCGTTTGGGGACATGAGTGTTTAAGAGTTCTGACAGATAAGGAGGGGCCAAATTGTGTTGCCTTAAAACCGATCAGTAGCATTTAAAATTAAATCCTGTAAGTGATCGGGAACCAGTGAAGAGCTTTTAGAACCGGAGTTATGTGATCCCTGCGTCTCCTACCTGTCAGCAAGCAAGCTGCCGCATTCGGAGCCACCTGCAAGCGGCGAATTGACGACTGCTCCAGTCCATGATATAGAGAGTTGCAGTAGTCGAGTCTCGACATGATTAGCAGGTGTATAACCTTTTCAAAGACTTTGAGTGGTAAATAGGGCTTGACTTTACCAAGAACACGCTCTGGATCACAGAACTTATCTGTTTATCAAGTTTAAAATGGCCGTCAATGAAAAACCCAGATTTCTTGCCTGAGACACACAAAAGGATTCTAAAGGAATCTCCTACCTTCTTTATGCAGATGACATCCAACTGTACATCTCCTTTAAGCCCCATGAGATGTCTAAGCTGCAGCTGCTACACACCTGCTTAGACTCTATCAAAACCTGGATGGTTTTGATAGAGTCTAAGTTTGCTCGGCTTCTGACCAAGTCCTCCAAACACACCCACATCACCCCGCTTCTCCTCCAGCTTCACTGGCTGCCAGTCAACTTCAGGGTTCATTTCAAGATCCTGGTTCTGGTCTATAGGGCCTTACATGGACAAGCACCATCTTACATTGGTGATCTTCTTAGTCCCTACACCCCCAGCAGGTCCCTGAGGTCCAGTGATCAAAGCCTACTGGTTGTGCAGCACCAGGCTAAAGGTCAAAGGTGACAGATCATCTGCTGCTGTGGCCCCCAGACTCTGGACCTTTCTCCCCCTGAGCCTGAGATCAGTGGACTCAGTGGTCTCCTTTAAAAAGCAGCTGAAGACTCACTTGTTCAAGCTGGCTTTTGTATGACCTTCTTCACCTCTCTCTCTTTATTCTGCTCTCCCCACCTATTCCACCTTCCTCAGGATCCACTGGTTTCCCTCTTTCCTGTTCACTCTCTCTCTTTCTTAACATTTTTAATCACAATTGTCTATTTTTGCTCATTTTAATATATTTTTAAACATTTTCTAAATTCTTTTTTATATTTTTACATTTTTTGTTTTTGTGAAGCGCCTCATGATTTTTATCTTGAGAGGCGCTAACAGATCAGAAAACTTTAGGCAAGAGGACACACCAGGAGAGATAAGACGACTCAATACACCTGAGGCTTATGGGAGTTATTTACAATAAGCATAGAGAAGTAGTGTCTTTGCCTGCTTTAGTGCACACTGGTATTCAGCACGAGCATCCCTAAGGATATCCAGCGAGACATGAAGGCCGTCCTTTTGCCATTGTCTCTCAGCTCTTCTGCAAGCGCGTCTGAAATCGAATAGAGTCATTCATCCATGGTTCTGGAGCACGCGCACAGCGCCGAGGTCCAAGAGGGGCAATACAGTCTAAAATGTCAGTGCATGTAGAATTAAAACGATCCAAGAGCTCATCAGCTGAGATGTCGCCACAGTCCATCTGTGCTAAAAATCTGCTTCGTTAAAAGCAGCAACAACATGAGAAGCAGTTTGTGGCTGGCCGCCATCTTTGATGGGTCTCCATTTGCCCCAAGTGCATTCATTTCTACTGAGGAAGGTGCTTACCCAACCCACAGTATGGCATGATAATTAAAATATAACTATAATTAAACAAAATAAATGTAAATATGAAATCCAGTCAGGTAGGCTAGAATAGTTACTAGTAATCCTACGTGATCTGTTTTCAATAGCATGCCGGTTGTTGTAGTCGTAGGCTGCACACACTCTGCGTTGACTTTGGAGAGTGCGGAGACCCATCCAATATGGCGGCGACGCTGTTACGCTCTCCAGCGCACACTGGGGCATCTACGTATTCATGTTTAAGGGTACAGGGAGGTGAATCTGAATCTATACAATATAACTAACACAGACCTGCTCGCTGACTTCGAATGCCCTGGGCAGATTACACTCCCCCTGGCAACACAAGAGACTGAATCTGATTGGATCAAACATTGAATCCACAGACATGTAGAGAATGCGATTCAGCCAAGAAAAATGTTCCCAACATGAGAAAATGAAAACATTTCCATTTACATGGATAGTTAGTGATTCTGAAGATGTTTGGGCCAGCGGTGCTGGTGTTGCTGGTCCTGACTGCACACCACTGCATCTTCTGAGGTGTTTTTGTTTGTCTCTCGTTTGCAGAGATCACTTTCACCTTCCCTGATGATTCTAGCCGGAAGCCAATAGAGAAGAGGCTCCCAGGTAAAATCCTGGACACTTTATGTAGGAGAGGCCTGATGAAAGGCTCTGAGAGTTCTGGTGTCCGTTTCTCCTCTGCAGCCTCCATGGTGGTCCAGAAGGTAAAGGGCCTGCTGTACAGACTGCTGAAGGTTCCACCATCAGATCTGAGGCTCACCTACACCAGCACCAAGGTACCCCCGCTGTTAGGCTGGAAACATCATGGCTGCTGTTTGGGCTGTTGAAGAAAACAATACAAAACAAACAATAACATAAAACCGTTTGAGAGGGAACTGGAAGAAGCAAAAGCCCCAATTCAGTTAATAAATCACATTTGCTCACATTAGCAAATTTGAAAGAAAAAAGCTTTTTCTTCATGCAGGTCGTTCTATCTTCACCTTGCTACATAAAAATACCGTTACAAACAATTGTTCACATGAATCTACAGAAAAGAAAAACAAAACCAATAAACAACAAGAACAAAATATTCCATTTGCAACCAATTACCATTTTTATCACTTGCTATTTATGTATGAGTCAATTATAAGTTGTTTATACAACATTTTCAATGATCTAATGTTTTTACATAATGTTAAAGTCACATCAAGTTTGTTCCACAGTTTGATACCACACACAGATACACACACACTTTTCATAGTTGTTCGGTATAATGGAAAAATGAAGTTTTAACGCCTCTCAATTCATATCCTTCTTCATGAGTTTTAAACATCCTTTGCAAATTACCCGGTAGTACACCCATCATGGCCCTATACGGTACTAGGACAGTTTTAAATTGAATTAAGCCAAAAAATTTGAGTAATCTGGAATTATAGAATAATGGAGTTGTATGATCTCTATATCCAGAATTAGTAATTATCCTTACCACTCTTTTTTGGAGAACACAAATCTTTAATAAATTAGATTTATAAGTATTACCCCATACTTGGACACAATATCAATCAATCAAAGTTATTTATTGTCACTTCTACCACGTGTGCAAGACATACAGAGAAACGAAATAGAGTTTCAGTACACACAATTCAGAGATCAGACATACATGGGCAAGACACATGACAAGAATTGGTGCCTGCGGTCATTCGCAACACGAGTCGCGCTACCTTAATAGATGAAAAGGGAATTACATGAGGATAAGTTGATGGAGGGAAAAAAAAAAGCAAGTGGTGCTCGCTGCAGAACCACAAAGGTGGAGCTGCACCAGAAGGTGGAGCTGCACCAGAAGGTGGAGCTGCACCAGGGTCAGCCCCGCCCATTCCAGAGTCAGCCCCGTCCATTCCATCAGAGTCAGTCCAATTCCTTCCAGTTGTCAGACTTGATAGCATTCTGGAACCAAAGAGGGTTTTATAGCTAAAAAATACAAGGTTGAGGACGGAGGTGAGAAGTTAACTGAACAGTTTTTGTAAAGGTTCCATATAATTAAAAATCTAACTTTTGGAACTTTTTATCATGTTATATTGTCATTTCCTCATAAGAAACACGCCAAAGCCATTTTTGGCCTCATTCATGCATTTTCCTCCCATCTCAGCTTCAATTTGGTCTCCTCCCCTGAAGTGGGTCTGGTCTTGGTTCTCAAATCTGGATATTCTGTGAATTTTCTGACAAATTATTTCTGAAATGACTTCTGCTGAGACACCGCCAATAAACCATACATCCCATCTCCAAAGACACACTGGATAGGTCAATTACATGTAACGCCACTTACTTCATATCAGATGTGGTGGGGTAGAGGCTATGGAGGCAGGTTGGCATATAGTTTTGCGCAGGTTCGACTCCCAGTGGCAGAAATCTTAGGTAGATTACAACCCCTTTTCTTAATTTCTAGCTACACTTGCCAGTACTGTTTACAACAATTTACTGGTATACCGTTTACAATATAATGACTAATGTGTTTATTTATTTATTCGTTTATTTAGCCAGTGTGAGTCCATTTGTGAGCAGAGTTTCAACTAAAATGCTGTTTAGGAACGACCAAATTCAAAGAACTTTTAGAGACATAAATATTTTGCTGAAAATAAACATTACAACTAAAATATAAACAAATTCAATGTTTCAGCTGGCTAAATAGATTGATGCCGACCCCACTGAGAATCGAACCAGCATCTGCTGAGGGGGAAGCAAAATTTACTTCAGATGATCTTACCACTGGACTACCAGAACACATATGACAATCACCCATGCTGTTGCACCACATTATTGTTAGAGCGGCTGTGGGCAGATATCTGCTAAAGGAAATCGTTTCATTTCAAGATGTATTCAGGCTTTGTCATGTAGCAAGTTATATTTATCTTGTTTAATTGGAGCATAGAACATAGCATTAACATTTGTAAAGTAGTAACAGCCATAATTCATGTGGGTCAGGTTAGTTTGCGATGAAGTTGGAAAACAAAAACGGAAGTCAGTGGGCTAGGCTGAGTTTGCGTGAATGGGCGGGGCTGACCCTGGTGCAGCTCCACCTTATGGTGCAGCTCCGCCTTTGTGGTTCTGCAGCGAGCACCCTCTCAAAAAAAGGGCATACCAGAGTTACTCCCGACAGGGCGTAGCTGTACTATGCAAAAAAAACACCTCAACATATAAGCACGAACATCAACATTCACAACATGAGACTCCGGGGTGGGGGGGGTGGGGTAGGACGGGTTCCACAGCATCTGTCTGCATTCCATCCTTCGTGGGGGATAATTATTTGCAGCATCAAGGCTGCATGGCGTCAGATTAGGATAACAAGACTGTGTTTGGGTCAGGCAGAGATAATTTTCCTCTCTGCCTTCAGTCTGTAACTGGTCATTCCAGTCCTTCAGTGAAGCCAATTCGTGTTATTAAACATCTCCACACCGTCTGGTGACCCTCTCCGAGATGACATCCATTTTGCGCTCTAACACCGGTAACGCAGCTAAGACATTGTCCAGCTTACGATGTGCCGCCGGCAACTTCAGCAGATGATACGGTGGCTGGTAAGGGTCACCGCGCCTACACCGCAGCCACGGCAATCCACCGAGATAATATATTTATATTTAAAAACAAGACGGTTATTATTATTGTCGACTTTTTTACCGGGGTTTACCGCTACACCGGTTACCGTGACAACCCTAGCCCTGACACACTTTCAGATATTCTCATGGTGCAGCTGTGTTCTCCAGAGATCAAGGACTAGGACCCAAATGAGGCTGTAATGCTTTGGCACAAAGACGGTGTCAGAAGCAGGAGGCCAGACTTCATGGACAGAGACAACAAGGAGTCTGACTAGATTTCAATGAAAGAGTTCATAAAAACATCTCTAAAAATAAATAAATAAATAGTAAAAATGACAAAAGAGTTGTTTTTCTTATTAATTGAAGTTTTAATTATTTTGTCACTCTGGAATCAACATAATATAGAATAACAGATATAGATCTAAATCATTTAGAATGTTGGCCGGTAGATTTCCAGCCAACTTGGCCGGTGAGTAAAACATTTAATTTCGGACCCTGCATGTAGATTATGTCCATTCAAGTGACCCAACAGCTTATTTACTTCCTGCGTAGTTCCAGAAGTGCAGCGGCGTGTTTGTAAGACATCAAACAGCAATATGACACGAGATTTCCTTCGTTTTGGTTTAGCGGCGGATTGCATAAACTCGAGCGATTTTGTGATCTGGTGAGTCCAGCGAGGAGAGCAGTGACGTTTCACGGCTGAGACTTCCTCTGTGCGCTGAACCGTAGCACGAAGAAACGTTTCTGCTTCCGTTCCACACCTCTTTTAAAAGAACATTTGCTTCCCCTCTAGATGCTCTTTTTCAGGCTTTGCTGTGTGAAAGTAAACTTTGATCAGGATTTTGAGTATTTGTGAACTAGTTTTTAATGAACACTTTATTTGTATCCTGGGATGAAATAGGACCTGGAGCTGTTAGCTAAAGAAACCCTGAAGCTGCTCTTGTGTTAGGTTAGCTTGCTAAACCAGCCTCACTGCTTCTCTTTTCTGGTTTTTGACATGTTTGACTACCAACTGACCAGAGCTACTGGTGATCCTTTACTCGGTGGATGAACCCTTTAAGAGAACAATATAGGAGATACGTTTTCCATGTGGTTCCTCTGTCTGGCGTTCTGGATTACCGGGATGATTCTGAGGTGCTCCGTTCAGAAGAGTTGATCATGTGATGTTCTCTTCATGACAGATGGTGGGGGCGGAGTTTGAGCTCAGCAACGACCTGAAGACGCTTCAGTTTTACTCTATAGAGGATGGAGACCAGATTCTGGTCCGCTGGTCCTGACCTGGACCTGACAGAATGGAGGAGCTAGCTGACTGGGTTCTGTCTGGATCACATCAGACCAGAGGTGGCTTCGCTGCACATGCTCGTCTTCATGACCGGCATGGCCTTGTTAGAGTTACGGAGTCTGGACGTTTGACTGTCCTTCCTGATGTGGAACAGACCCAACAAACTGAACAGCTGCTGTTTTTGCTTGAAGATCCAGAGTGCAGAAAAGCACAGGGACCCGGTCTTTTGTTACCTGTCAGCTGCAGCTGAATGATTACTGAAGAAGAGGATTCCACCAGGTGAACTACTGCAGGAGACACGTCAGACTTCCAACGGTAAAGCAGGTGTAAACATGACTTCAGTGTCACAAATTGGGTTTTATATTTAGATGTTTGGGCTGCGGAGACGGCATGAACTCTACTCACAGAGACACAATAAATGTAATTGCTTAAGTCTGCAGTGGAAGAGACCCGCATGTCCTGCAGGACAAACCTGAAACGGCAAGTCTTAGGTATTGGCTGAATGTTTTTACATAAATAAGGATTAAAATATACGTGGAAAACGACTAAGAGTCAGTTGGAAATACACAGAAATGGCTTCCACAGCGCCATGCTGCTGGGTGTCTAACCTGCAGTCTTCCTGTTCTACCTGCACCGCCATGTAAGTTTGAACTAATATAAAAACCTAAAAATACGTGTGGATACGTTTTCATACCTGTGTGTGTGTGTGTGTGTGTGTGTGTGTGTGTGTGTGTGTGTGTGTGTGTGTGTGTGTGTCCACCAGATGGATTTAAGTCATCAGAGCGATCCTTACAGGACCTCAGATAAACACTGACGATCAAACTAAACACAAACTTGCTCCAACTCAGTTTCATTTACATTGAAGTAATTTTTTATGAAGCGGCTGAATCACGACACAAAATGGCTGATTAGTCTGAACAAGCGTTTGGACATTTGATCCAACAGCTAAAACGTTAATTCCTCAACATAATGATGATATTTAAGCTGCAATATCAACTGTGAAACAAGCTAGCTTTTAAACTCAAACTTATGTTAGAACATTAACGGCTGTGGAAAAATGCTTGAAACTAGCTTGTTTAGCAGATTTGCCATTGTAGTGTTAAAGGAGACCACTGAGTCCACTGATCTCAGGCTCAGGGGGAGAGAGGTCCAGAGTCTGGGGTCCACAGCAGCAGATGGTCTGTCACCTTTGGTCTTTAGCCTGGTGCTGCACATGTGTGGAAAACAATCTCAAGTTCAGCAACGTTCCTGAGATGGAAGAAGGAAGAGCGAACAAGAGAACTGACATGAGAATCCAGGGTGAGAGCTGGGTCAAAGGTCACACCAAGATTCCTGACAGAAGGTTTGGTGTGAGAAGCAAGCTGACCAAGAGAGTCTCTGACTTTGGGAACCAGCTTGTCTGGGGCACAGATGAGGATCTCAGTCTTATCTTCATTCAGCTGTAATTGAAACCAGAGTAATGTGGGCTAAATAAAACGCTTTAAAAGCTATTTATTTCTATTGTCATTACTTGTGACCGATAGCTGTAATACTCTATTAATTATAGAACATCACCTTGCTTGGTCTTAGGATGATTAATTAGAAGGTTCTAGGATTCTTTTAATTATTAAGGGATCGTTCGCACTTCGTTTATGATTCAAGAACCAGTCGGTGTTTGCAAACAATTAAGACTTGACAAACGGTTTAAACTATTATTCTGTGAGAGGATGGAACTAAAAGATGGGTGTCTGAAAACTGTGTGAATATGAGATGATGAATCAGAATCTCCGTATCTTCAGAGAGGTGCGTTCTGGATATAAAAGAATTTGGTTTGCATCTAAACTATTAGCACTAGAACTCCCAGAGACTTGTCATTTGACGGGATCCCCCATCTCTACCAGAGACTTGTCATTTGACGGGATCCCCCATCTCTACCAGAGACTTGTCATTTGACGGGATCCCCCATCTCTACCAGAGACTTGTCATTTGACTGGGCTGTTGCTGTCTAGGATTCTTAATCACTTGCGGATGGTTTCCTTTGTTCTGTAAATGTGTCAGTTACATGTGAATCGGTGGTGTGGTGACAATTCATTCAAAGATTCCAACATTTCATGTTCCAAAATGTTGCCTGTGTAATGATTTAAATTACATGTTATTTAATGAGCCATAAGACATAGGAATCCATAGTAAATATGAAATCAACCTTATGGATCTGTGGGTACTGTTTAACCAGAAGATTGGAGCTTTTTATTGCAGGGATTAGATAACAGCTTCGTATTCACTGAGAGACAACAGAAGAGAGAGTCAGGTTTTAAAAGTTTAAAGATTTATTACTAAACAAATTAAAACTAGACTAACTTTAACACTAAATGTATGGTGTAACTATGGTGGATGAGACGGAGAGTGGAGTGATGTGGAATGTTGTTCAGAACCAGCAAATCCGAAGAAGAGATTAGTTCTGATGGGAACTAAAGGTGATGTCTTCGCGCTAAGCTTTGGTTAGGAGATTCATAAACATATTCAACGCCATTTGTCGGTCTACATACCCTTAGCGGAAGTCCCCGTCTAGATCAGGAGGTGTAGAGGTCCAGCTTGACCTTGTGGAGCAGAAGCCTGTAGAAGCAGCCGCGGCAGCCGACCACCAGTCTTGAGATATCCCTGGGTCACGACAATTTTGTTGGCATCTAGTGAGACCCAAACCTGGGTCATGATGGTTCAGCTTTTATTCTGAAAGGAACCGTTGCAGCAGGTGGAACAGCAACAGATTTTATCCAGCTTGTCGTTGGTTCTTTCGGCTGAAGAGGAAAGTTAGGGATTGGCCACTCCGACAACTTCTCTAGAACGCTTTGAACTGGCGTTAAAGATGACGTGGGCATAGTTTTATACTTCGGATGTTTTGTTTTATGGTCGAATGAAAAGATGACAGATTTACCAAACACCACCAAAACCACTCCTCCGTCAGATCTGGCAGATTCTCATTGGATCAGTAAAGCAATGTGTCGTCTCTTAACGCTACGTGAGATCAGTCCTAGTGGAAACATTTAAAGTTATATTACTTATTATATTCTATAGGATTATAATAAAGTAATTAATATTTTGATTTCACAGATTGGTCAACATTTTATTATTGACTAACACTTTGTTTGATTAGCTTTATTAAAAATAAAGAGTTCTTTGATTAAAAGGAGAGAGTCCTTTCTTCATTCTTCTGGGGAGGGGAGCTGGGGCTTTTCGGGTCGCTGTCTCCCTGGAGTTCCTGTGTTCTGGGGCAACTCCTGGATCTCTGGGACTTGGAGCTCCCCCCGTCTCCTACACATCTTTGGGGGTCAGATCTGTGGTCCCTCACTCTCTTATGGACGCTCCTATAGATAAACCTTACATAAACAAGCGCGTGTACACACACAGGTGCTCACATGGTGCTCTCATAAGTATGGGCTTGGGCACGTTCAACACATGTCTTAAGGCTGTGGTTGCCACTAAATGCACTGTGATTTATTATCGTGTGATTGTTCAGTTAAACAATGTTGATTTTATATTTCTTAAGTTGATGCAGTGATAGCTAGATCTTGTTGTATTGTTGTTGTGTCCCTTTTTTTGTTTTTTTTCTTCTCTCCTTCTGCAGGTCTAGAAGCAGATTCTTGTTCATTATTGTTTAATTTTGTGGAACACCCCCATCTTTTGTCTTTTCCTTTCTCCTTCACCTCTGTCTCCGTGTCTGGTCGGAATTAAAAGGCATTCAAAAACAATAACAATAAAGTTTTCTGTATCAGGTGTGACATTAAAGCAGAAGCTTTGATGCTCCACCTGAGAGTAAATATGTAAGGCTTGTTACCAGCATTCAGACATCAATTCTGTTTGCTTCACAACCAGACAGGACACAAAAAAAAGACACGCAGTACCAAAGTCCACCAGAGTGGGCACAGTTGGGTAGTGTAGCTTGCATACAGCCTGCTGGAGTCTGACCAGAAGCACTTCAGCAGCTTGCATGCTATGCCTAAGCGAATCTGAGAGGGCTTGGGGAGGCTGAAACATGGATGTTAGAAAAGTTTTGTTTTGTTTCGAGTTTAAAGTAGTTGCAGTAACTAAATTTTACCACAGAATGTCATTTTTACTTCATTTCTACATAATGCACCTTTCAAAAAAACTTAACGGAAATAAAATCTTATTGAGCAATATGTATGTTGTGTGTGTTTCAGATGACTCTCCTGCTTTGTAATCACAACATCTTCAGTCTATGCTTCTAACCAGGCCTCCAAACTTCCGTTCATCTCCAAGATCTTAGAAAAGGTTGTGGCTAACAACTCCCAGCTGCTCTTGATGAACATAACATCTATGATAGCTTCCAGTCAGGTTTTCGTAGAGCTCATTTTACTTTGCTGTGGCTTTTGTTGTTGTGGTGTGGCTATTGTGTTGTATTGTTGTATTTGTGTTGTACTTTGGCTTTTGTTGTTGTGGTTGTTGTTTCTGTCTTGTGGCTTTTGTGTTGAGCTGTGGCTTTTGTGTTGTGCTGTGGCTTTTGTGTTGTTGTGTTGTGGCTTGTGTGCTGTTGTGTTGTGGCTTTTGTGTTGTTGTGCTGTGGCTTTTGTGTTAGTGTGTTGTGGCTTTTGTGTTGTTGTGTTGTGGCTTTTGTGTTGTTGTGCTGTGGCTTTTGTGTTAGTGTGTTGTGGCTTTTGTGTTGTTGTGCTGTGGCTTTTGTGTTAGTGTGTTGTGGCTTTTGTGTTGTTGTGTTGTGGCTTTTGTTGTTGTGCTGTGGTTTTTGTTTTTGTCTTGTGGCTTTTGTTGTTGTGCTGTGTCTTTTGTGTTGTAGTGTTGTGGTGTTTGTTGTTGTGCTGTGTCTTGTGTTGTTGTGTTGTGGCTTTTGTGTTGTTGTGCTATGGCTTTTGTTGTGCTGTGGTTTTTGGTTTTGTCTTGTGGCTTTTGTGTTGTGCTTTGGCTTTTGTTGTTGTGCTGTGGTTTTTGTTTTGTGGCTTTAGTGTTGTGCTGTGTCTTTAGTGTTGTTGTGTTGTGGCTTTTGTGTTGTACTTTGGCTTTTGTTGTTGTGGATGTTGTTTCTGTCTTGTGGCTTTTGTGTAGAGCTGTGGCTTTTGTGTTGTGCTGTGGCTTTTGTGTTGTTGTGTTGTGGCTTTTTTGCTGTTGTGTTGTGGCTTTGATAAAAATGAAGTGGTTCTTGCTCATTTGTCTAAAATGGGGCCAAAACCAATGATTTATCTGGATGTTCATTTCACTGAACCACAGCACTTCCGCAATTCCCTGGGTCCTCCATTCTCGTATTTAGCTACAGAACACCACGGGTGTGAGATGTTCTACACTCAACAATATCAGCGAAGCAGAAACAGCCGGCTGCTACCACTTCAACTTTAGGACAAACTACCAGAGTCCCAAAAAGAAACTCACCATTTGAAGTCATGGACAACAAAAAAACATTTGGACTTAGAAAACTGGGACTGGTGTTGGTTTCCTCTGTCATTGTGGGTTCTGGTATCAGGCAGACACGGCCTAGAGATGGTAGCCAATGTGAGGGTGAGTGTGCTGTGCTTGCTAGCTTGTTATGCAGAATTGCTATTGCAGCTTTAAAATGCAGTTGAAAACTCATCTGTTCAGGCTTCTTTTCAAGCTCCTGTATCTGTCAAATCAGTATATTCTTAGGCTCCTGTGCTTAGTTTGTTTCATTTTTCTTCTCATTGTTTTTTTTTTGTTTTCTTAAGTTTTCATTTTCCCCATTTAATTGATCTTTAGAAAATGTAAATTTTCATTTTTTCTTGTGAAGTGTCTAGAGATTTTTATCTTGAGAGGTTGTATAAAAAAATACCCCTACTTCCTCATGACATGTCTTCTTCTTCTTCTTCTTCATGACATGTCTTCTTCTTCTTCTTCTTGACATGTCTTCTTCTTCTTCTTCTTCTTCATGACATGCCATTCTTAATCCATAATGCCCCACTGTTCATTGAATGTGTTTATATTCCTGAGAGAACTGATCATGCCCCTGTCCCAGTAGTTCTGGGTCCTGGTTACCATGGTGCCATGCGGTGCTGCAGTAACAATGCTGTGCCTGTTGCTCACTAAGATGATCTCTGTGGGATTGTTGTGTGTTTTGTCTCCCAGTGGGATGGAGCTGCCTTAAGCAGCACTTTCCTTTAGAGTGAAGCAGTGGTTTGATCAGTGGAACAAGTTTCTCTGAGTCTCCTCTGGACCCACCAGACCCAAAAATCTGCGAAGCTCCCTGCGAGTGGAGGGAGGCTTTTACGCAGTGTAGCATGGCTCAGGGCCTGTATTTCATCAAATGGGTCAAAGTTGACTTTAATTTCTCACTTGCAGGTTGGGTCAGCCCAACACAGGAGTGGTCATTATGAATATCTCTGAACTTGACCTTTATCCACCATCTCCAGACTCCTGACGCCTCTGAGGACACAACACTGCTAATCCATCTCCTTTTAATGGTTATCTTTTGTTTTGACTCATAGAATAACTTTTTTAACTTTACAAGTTATTTACAATCATATTCTGCAGTAACTACAATATGTTTTAAATCTGTTACCTGTAAACAAATCTGTGTTAGTGATGTTGAATGCTCTACAGTAATGAATAATGAGTTAACATAAATGTTCATTTCATAAGGATTTATTTCAGATCTTATTTACAGCAGATGAGTCTATTTGTGGAAGTTAATAATGATTTATTTACCAGCAAATTCACACATTATTATTATGATAATAATAATAATAATAATAATAATAATAATAATAATAATAATAATAATAATTATTATTATTATTATTATTATTATTATTATTATTATGATCTAATAATAATAATTATTATTATCCAATTTACTTCATATTATTGTTTATTTAGTTTTACTCCACATTAAGTGAGATAACCTCTCATGTTTATGTTTATTTATAAAGCCCCTTCCAACCCCCACTTACAGGGCCCTAAGGTGCTGAACATAGTGCAAAGAAGCAGCAGAATAAAACAGCTCTATAATAAAATACAGAGATAAAAACATTTAAAAACAAAGAAAAAGAGCTAAAAACGATCAAAATAGTGATCAAAAACATTAAAATGTGAATAGAAACAACAAAGAAACAGATCTAAAGTTCAGCTTTTAGCTGGATATGATTCCGCACCCGGCCTGTTATAAGTTCTCCTCGAGCTCCTTTAGTCTGTCCACGGTCATCGGATGACTGTCCTTGGCGCCTCTTTTCTCCCTCCTCTCATTCTTCCCTTCCCCCACTTCTCGCGAGAAAATCATAAATCAGCCAAACTTAAACACCTGGGTCTTAGCTTACAATCAATCACAGGGATTTCCTAGTTTCTTTTTTTTAACCTTTCTGTAGAACAATGAAATTATCTAATAACAAAATGAACTGTCTTCAATGCTTCAGAGCATATTAATTATGAAAATGCGTTGCATATTTATGAATACAAACAAAATATCCTGATTACCAAATAATCATATTATTACATAGATATACACTCCCCTGGATCTCTGGTGACATAAGGAGATTAATGAAAGGATGGGACAATGCCCTAAAACTCTATCTTAAGACCAACCTTTTGACTGATGGGCACATTTTTGTGTCCTTGAGAAACAAAGTAATCAGGGAAATCAGCGTTGCTAAATCTAACTTCTTTGTGGACCTCATACGAGATGCTAAGGGTGATCACAAACAAGTTTGGAATTGTCTGCATAAGTTAATGTGGAAAGGACACAGCAAAGCAACAAAGCAGTTGGAAATCAAAGACAAAAATAAGGAACCAGCTAAAATAGCGGCTATTCTCAAAAACCATTTCATTAATTCTGTTAGACAAACTGTGATTAGTCCCATGAGTGGTCCACTCGACTATTTACCAGTTGACATAGCACAGCCAGTATTTGTCCTGACTGAAATGTCTGAATTTAAGGTTAAATGTATAATTACGTCTATTAAAAACTCCAAATCAAAAGATATATTTGGACTGGACTCCATGTTTTTAAAGAAACATGCTGCCTCCCTTGCAGGGCCTATAACTACAATCATAAACACCTCTTTTAAGGAGGGTACATTTCCAAACAACTGGAAGTCTGTTGTTGTACCAGTCTACAAATCAGGAGATGCTACTGACGTGAATAACTATAGGCTGATTAGTATCTTGCCCATTATGTCTAAAATCTCTGAAAAATGTGTAGCTGAGCAGTTGACTGAGCATCTTAACAGTACACCTTCTAAACTGCATCCTATGCAATTTGGCTTTAGAGCAAATCACGCCACAGAGACAGCTAACCGTTTCTTTGTGGAAAACATAAAGTCTAAATTGGACAAAGGAGGTATAGTTGGAGCCATCTTTTTAGACTTTAAGAGCTTTTGACACGGTCAGTCATGACATACTCATCCAGAAGTTGTCTTGTTTTAACCTCTCAACCAGTGTTATGGACTGGATGATATCTTACTTAGCAAACAGAGCTCATTGTGTGAGTTAATGATGAGAAATCAGCACCATTAAGGAACGAGCTGGGTGTGCCCCAGGGATCTGTCCTGGGCCCTATTCTGTTCAGCATCTACATAAATGACCTGCCATCAGTGTGCACTGGATGTGAGGTGCAGATGTATGCTGATGACACCGTCATATATGTTCATGCAAAAGCTAAAGCCCAAGCTGCTGCTAAGCTCAGTGATACTATGGTACATGTACAAACATGGCTCACTTGCTCACAGCTGTTTCTCAATGTAAAAAAGACAGTTTGCATGTTTTTTTTAAGCAAAAGGAACATTTCATCCAACTGTGAACCCACTGTGTGTGTGTCTGGGGAGGTCATTCAAACAGTTACATGGTTTAAATTTCTAGGCATTATTATTGACAATATGTTATCATTTAAACATCAAGTGAGAAAGGTAGTGCAAATTACCAAATATAATCTAGCAAACTTTAGGTATATAAGACACTGCTGGACAACACCTGTAGCTGTACATGGACACTCTGATATTCCCTCATCTAACTGATTGTATTACAAGCTGGACCCAGGTGTGTGGTACAACATTAAGACCTATCCTATCACTTCACAAACAGGCACTTAAGGTCTTAGACAAAAAATCCAACCTCTACCATCACTGTAGTGTCCTTACCAAATATAATCTACTTAGATGGGAAACTATTTTAAAACACAGTGATGCGTGTTTAATCTTTAAGATCCCCCACCACTTTGTACTTTTACTCAGAATCAAGCAGCAGAACCACAAGGTCTGCACTAAGAGGGGACTGTGTAGTTCCTCATAGGTCGAGTACTTTTGGACAGTTATGTTTTTCTGTGAGAGCCTCTAAACTGTGGAATCAGACACCACTGGACATTAGAAACTCCACTTCACATCGTACATTTAAACTCAGTTTTAAGAACCGGCTTTTAAGCACACAAAAATGTGAACCCCTTTCATAATCATAGTATGTTTGTTTTTAGACTTTATTTATTTTGTAACCTATAGTATGTATGATAGAAACTGCAAATCGATATATGCTTGCTTTTGATTCTCTAAGAGTTGTATGGGTATATGAATTATTTATTTCTTTTTTCTATCTTATCTTTATTTTTTGTGTGTTTTGTTTTAATGAAATTGAGTGTAATGGCATTATGATTTATTGTTGTATATTAATTAGTTACTATGCTCATTTCATCTGTTTTCTCTTTTTTTTCTTTCTTTCTTTCTTCTCTTTAGCCATCGTGCTTATTATAACATCTTGCCACTGGACTACAGTTGAAAATTAGCCTGCTGGCTGACAATGGCACATTTACAGAAATGTTTATTAATGTGCACGGTCCTTAAATAAATAAATAAATAAAGATCCTGACTGCCAAAAACTAAAATCCCCATTTTACCTTTAGTCTCTGGAAATATCCATCAAAACGTTGTTGAAAATGAATAAAATGATGTCCAGTTGAAAATTTATTGGCAGCTTCTTACCATAAAACAATAAAAATCAGGTCTAAAGTACATAAGGTGCAGGCCTGGCCTCTTTGGTGAACGCCATGCTTCCTTCTGGCCAGCTTGGGGTCCTGCGCCTGTCGATGACATCACACCAGATCACTGGCTGAACACACAACTTTTAGAAGTAACGTTACCTCGTTCAAAAACATTTAGGCAGTCAGAAACACGGATTTTAAAACAAAACTGCTAAACTTTTCCCCAAACATATTTAAAAGAACAGATTTGAAAAAGAGATGCAATATATTTTGGCTGAGCGGTATTGCTGTAGAAGGATGATGTCATCGACAGGTGCAAGCCCCAAGCGCCTGAAAACTACAATTGGCATTGCATTCTCTTCTGGAATTACCTGAAGAACCATCAAAGTCTGAGAAGTCACGCCAAGTCATGCATTTGTTCTGCTCCAGAGGTAACGTTTACGGTGATGTCCTGGGGCATTCTGATGGGGGCGATGCCCGCATCACCGCTCCCTCCGACCACCACCAGCAGGCAAGGCCAGTTAAGTGTCTTGCACAAGGACACAACAGCAGCCAGGATCGAACCTGCAACGTTCCGATTACTGGATCACCTGCTTTACCTTCTGAGCTACTGCTGCCCCAAAGACTTATGGGCTCGACACATGGGAGGCGACAAACGACCGCGATCAGCGAAATTCGTCGCTGTCGCTTTTATTACCTGACACACGGGAGGCGACCCGCGGCAGCGGCCAGCGGCAAAGCCGTCTACGCGTTCTGTTCCATGGCGAAATCGAATCTTCCGTTGTTTTGATTGGCTGTGTCAGGTTGGAGGGAATTAAGGTTATTTAAGCGGTTCAGAGTTAATAAAGCGGTAGATATGATGTTTCACAAGGTGCTGCTAGAGTTATGTGAAATCTTACTTCTGATTTTACTATAAAACATAATAATAATCAACTTCTCCTCCATGTTTGCTCGGAGATGTACGGAGCATCCTGTCCGCTCATTGGTCAGTGAATGAAACCTCCGTTGATTGGTCCTCGTCCGAGCGACAGCGATGAAAAGTTGAAAATATTTCAACTTTCTGGGATCGCGTCGCTGGGCCCCCTGTGCACGACACGTGCATGAGCGCAAAATTTTACACGCGTTTCGCTTGGTAGGAGGGAGACCCGCGATTATCGCTTTGTCGCGCATGTCTCATTGAAAATGAATGGAGGAGAGGCGATGTGGCCTCCCGTGTGTCGAGGCCATTAGAGTCACAACTGAGATTCTTCAGCTCAGTTAAACGAAAAAAAAAAAGGTTTCTAAAATGTCTTTGTTGTGCTGTAAACGTGATTTTTGTGCTGAGGCTCCGACCTTTCACTCACATCACCGCTATAATATCAGTCCACTCACAGAAGGTCCTTGTTAGAGGAGTCAACCCACGTGTGAAATTTAATTGAAGGTTTCTGAGGATGCATGCGTCTGAGCCGTGTCCCGTTAATAATGTAATTACTAATGTTGCAGGAGGAGAACACGGAGCTCGCCGCACAAGTAAGCATCGCCTGGCACGCCTCTCTGTTCCTGACCTTCTTTAAAACGCTCTAAATAACGCAACATCAAGGTCTTAAGGTCCACATTGGACTTGGAGTTTTTTCCTCATTGTTATTTGTTGCTTTTCAAAGGCAGCTTTTAACTGTCATACGTAAATGCGCCCTTCGTTATTCACTAGTCGTGTGTATAGATGGAAGCCACATCTAGCAGACTTGGCTCTGATGTCTTACAGTGAGTCAGTGGAATAACGGGACGCTGTTCGCTGATCAGCAGTGGTCAGAGGCAGAGAAGTGGCTTCTTGTGACGTTGTTAGGTGTGGAGATTGTGATGGGAGTTACAGGAAACAGTCTTGTTCTGCTGGTCAAGGTCAAGGTAAGATAACTTCAGTACCTATCATACAGTTATGTAACCTGGACTGGCACAGTTGTCCGGGATATTTTATCATAAAGCCATCAGCTTTCATTTGTAAAAGAAACTGTTGTGTTATTAAAGCTGAATAAGTAGGCTAAACATAGGTGTGCCTTACCTGGGTAAAATATAAAAAACTGCACTATTTGTGTGCAGCAGGTCTGTTCTTATCCTAGCCTAACGAACACAAGAGGAACACATCTCTAAATCATAACCGGGTTTGGCCCAAAGTTCAATAAAAGGATGAGTGGATTAGGATTCCCATGGAGGAGCCGACCCAAGCTGCTGGGGAGAGGGAAGTCTGGGTCCACCTGCCTAGCCTGCTGCCCCTGTGACCCGACCCGGATAAGAAAATGGATGGATGATATGTAGATATACAGGTCCATTTAAAAATTAGCATATTGTGATAAAGTTCATTATTGTCTGTAATGTACTGATCAACATCAGACTTTCATATATATTAGATTCATTACACACAACTGAAGTAGTTCAAGCCTTTTATTGTTTCTAATATTGATGATTTTGGCGTACAGCTCATGAAAACCCAAAACTCCTATCTCAAAATATTAGCACATTTCATCCGACCAATAAGAGAAAAGTGTTTTTAATACAAAAAAAGTCAACCTTCTAATAATTATGTTCAGTTATGCACTCAGTACTTGGTCGGGAATCCTTTAGCAGAAATGACTGCTTCAGTGCAGCGTGGCATGGAGGCGATCAGCCTGTGGCACTGCTGAGGTGTTCTGGAGGCCCAGGATGCTTCGATAGCGGCCTTAAGCTCCTCCAGAGTGTTGGGTCTGGCGTCTCTCAACTTTCTCTTCACAATATCCCACAGGTTCTCTACGGGGTTCAGGTCATACCATGGTCAGTAAACCATTTAGCAGTGGTGTTGGTGCTGTGAGCAGGTGCCAGGTCGTGCTGAAAACTGAAATCTTCATCTCCATAAAGCTTTTCAGCAGATGGAAGCATGAAGTGCTCCAACATCTCCTGATAGCTAGCTGCATTGACCCTGCCCTTGATAAAACACAGTGGACCAACACCAGCAGCTGACATGGCGCCCCAGACCATCACTGACTGTGGGTACTTGACACTGGACTTCAGGCATGTTGGCATTTCCCTCTGCCCAGTCTTCCTCCAGACTCTGGCACCTTGATTTCTGAATGACGTGCAGAATTAGCTTTCATCTGAAAAAAGTACTTTGGACCGCTGAGCAACAGTCCAGTGCTGCTTCTCTGTAACCCAGGTCAGGCGCTTCTTCTCCCTTCGATCGATCGATCGATCGATAGATAGATAGATAGATAGATAGATTGATAGATAGATAGATAGATCATCTTTATTGACAGACTCTTAGGTCCAGATAAAGAAAAATATTCAAAAAACAACAAAACATTAAAAACAATAAATGAAACAAAACAGGTAAAAACAAATAGAATGAATAAAAATTATAAAAGCATAAAAATAAAATAAAAAATCTAAATCTATTTAAAAAACTTACTACAGAGATGTTCCACACGATTAAGAGTAACCACACAAACACTTCAACCAGTGTTTCCTTCTCCTGGACAAACAGCAACAACTGCTCACAGCAGGATCAGCGACTGCTAAAGTGATGCTGTTGGCAGAGCTATCAGTCGTTCTCTTAAAGTGAAAATTAGTTTTCTTAAAAGAGCTTTAAAACTACAAATGTCTGCTGTTACAAACATCTGATTGGCCACTGCCCCCTTTCTTCCCTGATCAGTCATTGCTTTCACCTGGTCCTCCCCCCCACACCCCACACACCTGCAGCTCATCTGCCTCCCATTATGCCCCGGTGTATTTAAGCCCTGTCTTGTCTCTGTGTCTTGTCGGTCCATTGTTGTTTATGTCAGTGTTGGTTTTGTTGTCTCTCCCGCTAGGTCTTTGGTACTTTGCTCATAAAGTGAGCTTTTTGGATTCATCCCTGCTTCATTTTGTTACTGGGAGTTTGCCTCCTGCCCTTTTTGGATTTTTATTTTGTCATCCAAAATAACGGATTCTTCTTTATTTAACATTCCTGCCTCGTGTCATCCTGGCTCTGCATCTTGGGTCCTAACCTCCTGCTCCTAAACGTGACAGCAACATGCAGCTTATTCATGCTGCTTTGGTTGTAGGATGACCACAGTTGGGCTGTATAAAGCAGAATAATATGCTTTAAATAAAGCCACCTTAACTGGAGGTGAACAAAAACTAAACGTACGTGCTATAGTGTTAGCTTGTGCATACAGTACAGCTTACAGCACTGTCTGTGGATGTCAGCATCATCACGCATCTGATCAGTTATAAAGTGGCCAAGGTATTTCACCTTCTCACACACATTAAGAGCACTATTAGACAGTCTGAACACAGGAAAGTTTAGCTTTCTATCCTGCTTGGTTCTACATATCAAGATAGCACTTTTAACAGCATTATACTGAATATCGTACTGCACACCATATTCAGAGCAGATGTTTAGGAGCTGCTGTAAACCAGCACTACTTGGACTGAAGACCACCAGATCATCAGCATACATCAGATGGTTGATCAGAGTTGTACCCATCAAACGTCCTGTGTTACAGGCTCTCATCTGCACTGACAGATCGTCAACGTACAGATTAAATAAGATAGGAGACAGAATTCCACCCTGCCTAACACCATTACTAACGCCAAATGGTGCCGAGACGCTGCCACCTCGTTTAACCCTGCATCGTCTGATGAGCATACCAGTAAGACAGGATTCTCACAATAAACCCAGGGACCCCCCGTAGCTTTAACTTAATAAAAAGTTTTCTGTGGTTTACACGATCAAAAGCCTTAGAGGCATCAATAAAACACATAAGGACAGAAGAATTTCTATTTCTGTACCAGTTGATCATTTCTTTAAGTGCGTATATACACATGTCAGTACCATGTTTTGGCTTAAAGCCAAACTGATTATCCAAGGAACTGAGGTACACAGTGACTCTATCAAATATGATTCTTTCTAAAACTTTAGATAAAACACTGGCTAGTGCAATCGGCCTATAATTATCCATACTGGCCACCTTCCCAGATTTGTTCTTAATGACTGGAACAAGCAGAATTACCATCATTGAGTCTGGTAGTATGCCATGAATCATGAACCCTGTAAAACATAGAGCTAAAAGGGGAGCTAGCCTTAGGCTAGCATATTTCAACTGTTCTGCACTAAAGTGATCCAGACCAGAAGCCTTATTATCAGCTAGTTTGTGAATAGCATCATGCACCTCATGGGTCGTTAAACATATAGATTCATCATTAATAACAGAGCCGTCCTCATACCGATCACCTTTTAAACAATGCATAATAACGATGTCTCCATAATGCTGCAGTATTATCTTCCCCAGAAACACCTTCAACAGCACCTGGTAGAGATGATTTACAATTATTGTTTTTACATCTTTCCAAAAACCTTTGACATCTTTACTCGTAAATATGCATAGAATCTGATCTGCTCATTTTTGGATATAAAGCGAACAGCATACTTATATCTGGCATTTGCAGGTTTTTTCTGTTCAAATTCCACACCCTGCCTAGGTCTCCCAATCATATCCCAATGTTTAAAAGCTACACGTGCTTCATCCTGATACATGGCAACATGTTCTTTCCAGCCAGGCCTGATATGAGGTTTCTGCTTCTGCTTACCTTTGACATGAACTGGCTTACCACTTTCATACAAAGCGTCCACTATATCCTCACACATAGAGCAGCGTTCACTTTTATGTTCGAGATTCTTACAGTTAACATCTTTACACAGGATGGCCTCTTTAGCCACAGAGATGTTTAGGTATTGATCTGTATTATTACTATAAGACAATATGTCTTTGTCACTAAATGCTGCCCATTCTAATTTTATATTATTATCATTATTGACATAATTAACTCACAATCAGGCAGCTGTTCCACATTTATAGAGAAAGCAAAAGGTATATGATCTGACACAACTACCCCATACTTTATAGTCATGCTATCCAAAGCTGCATGTGCATCAGCTGTACTAATACAATGATACAGCCATGATGTATTATGCCAAGCCTCACTCATTTATGTGTAAATGTGTTTTGGCAAGAAAACACTTTGCTAGACAGAATAAGATCATAGTCTTCACACAACTGTGTTAAGTGTTTAGCAAACTCAGATTTTTTATCTGAGAGATCAGCAGAGATCAGATTCCACAAATTTAAACAATCAATGATGAACAAGAGTCTGCTTCTAGACCTGCAGAAAAACAACACACAACAATACAACAGGAGCAGGCTATCACTGCGTCAACCTGATGAAGAAATATAAAATCACCACAGTGCATTTAGTGCCAACCACAGCCTTAAGACCTGTGTTGAACGTGCCCAAGTCCATACATTTGAGAGCACCATGTGAGCACCTGTGTGTGTACACGCGCTTGTTTATGTAAGGTTTCTCTATAGGAGCGTCCAACAGAGAGTGTGAGGGGCCACAGATCTGCCCCCCAAAGATGTGTAGGAGATGGAGGGAGCTCCAAGTCCCAGAGATCCAGGAGCTGCCCCAGAACACAGGAACCCCAAGGAGACTGCAACCAGAAAGGCCCCCGCCCCCCTCAAGACATGCAGAGGATCACCCCAGGGGACCACAACCAGCAGCCGGCAGAGTCCCGGGGGATATCAGCGGCAAGCCGACAGGCCCACCCGCAGCCTCCCACCCCCAAGCCGGCCGAGCCCGAAACCCAGCGACTCGGGACCCAGAGGCAACCACCCCCGCCGGGGACCCAACAGAACCCAGGGACTCAGTACGACCAGGCAACCACCGGGATTAATCAGGCAGACGCCAAAAATCTTAAACCCCCTGACCCGGGAGCCGCGAACACTCAGGCAGACCAAGGCACCACACCCCACACCAGGTGTGGCAGGGGGAGAGGAGGCGAAGATGTGTAGCAGCAAAAGAAGTCCCAGGAGAAGGTAGGAGTCAAAGGCCCCACC